AAAATTCTCATCTTCGAACTCGATCAAGGCATTCACCTAATAGACACCCACGCCAAGTGTGAACACTCTAACTCAAGTCTAGACCAATCAATTTGCTTATCGCTCTGCTTACCTTGAGCAGAAAATGGTAATTATCAAACTAATATGTTTTAGGAACAGAATCTGTTGGACATTCTAAAGAATTTATATAAACTGGGCTTTAGCATTCTTGTAATATAGCCTATAGCTTTTCATGTAATATAAGGACGTTAAACCCCATTTCATTTCATTTCATTTCATGTAATATAGCCTATTGTGTTTTAGGAAGAGAATCTGTTGGAAATTCTCAAGAATTTAGATAAACTGGGCCTTGGCATTCAGACTGGTTGTCAGCCACAAAATAATTTGGGGGTCTTTTCCCTTGGGTGACAGGTGTAAGTTACAAATGCATGAAAACTCGGACCAAGACCACTCGGACCAAGACAGAAGACCACTCGACCACGATAGTTGTGTTTGTTTTAATACATGGTCCGTGATAGAAGACCACTCGGACCAAGATTAGAAAACCACTGGACCACCATACTTGTGTTTGTTTTAATACATTGTCCGAGACAGAAGACCACTGGGGCCAAATTAAAATAAAATACTACTCAATATATTGTTTTTTATTGATCATTATTATTTATTAAATTATTCTTTAATACATTATCAGTTTAAGAATTTATTACATTTATTTTTTTATTTATTTATTTTTCCAAGACAATAGAGGTGATAATATAAAGTTACATGATAATAAGATGAGAAAGTTTTGATGAGAGAAAGAGTAATGATGTCATGATTGATCATTCTCTTGAGGATAACCCATAAAAACCTGCTTAAATTAAAACAAGGTTTATTTCCAATGGGGTCCTTGGAGGAGGATCAGGTTATGTCAACATAGAGGGGCAGATTCATTTATGAAAGATGAAGGATGGAATATGACAATAAATAGTGAAATGTGTGTGCACCATAAGGGATGTGAAGTACAAAGACATTGGAGCATACATACATAAACAAACTAAAACATTTGTATTTGTTTTGCTAGCAAGTGTTGTTTAACATTTTTCTGAAAAGACGCTGGCTCGCTAGCCTGGAGGTCGGGTGTTCGATCCCTGGATTGGTCGAGAAAGTTCATCCAGATTTTCCGGCATGGTTTCCTCTTGTCAGTGATGCAGGACAGCTGTCTAGTTGTTCGGATAGTACGGAAAACCGAGGTCCGTGTATAAATCGAATAACTTTGTTGTGAATAATTTGCAGCTTGTTCTTCAGCTTCTTGTTTAAGCCTGAAAACCAAGCTGAGCATGCTTAATCTAAGTGGCATCGGATAATAATTTCCTAGTATACTTTGTTAAAGACTTGTTATATCCAAATAAAAATTTCAATCTGGTATTGACCTTTTTAATAATATTATTAACTATTAATTCACCAGAGAGATAATGATCCATATATAGACCCAGATATTTTAAACTATCTGTTTCTTGTATGACATGATCATTACACACTATTTCAAAACTACTAGTTTTCTTTAGTTTTCTACTTGGGCCAAATAACATACATTCAGTTTTACCTAAATGAAGGGATAATTTATTGTCTACTAACCAATCTGAACAAGACATTAAGGCTTTGCTAAGTTTCACAGATACTTTTTCAGGATTTGGATGAGAAAACAGGATGGCACTGTCGTCCGCATATAAGATTAATTTACATGGAGCAGGTATATGCTAATGATCATGTCATTCACATAACAGAGAAACTACAAGGGACCCAGGATGCTGCCCTGTGGAACACCACAAGAAATGTCCAAGGGGTCTGAGAAAGTTTTACCAACGTTGACAACTTGTTTGCTGTTGGAAAGATATGAACGAAACCATCCTGTGAATCGGACGCCGATTATTTCAAGTTTTTTACATAATATATCATGGTTGACTGTGGCAAACGCTTTTTGCAGGTCCAATTGGACCATACCGGTAAAATTCCCTTTAACATTTTGATCCTTGAGATGATTCAGCAAACTGATCAAACATGTGTCAGTTGAATGGCTGTCCCTGAAGCCTGATGTTGTTCATATAATAAATTATTGTCTTTCAAGTGAGTCTTGACACAATACTGAGAATGCGCACAGGCCTATAGTTGCTCACAAGAAGAGAACTGTTGTTTTTTTTTATATATATATTGGTTTAACCATAGCTAATTTTAGCTCATCCGGAACTGAATTCTCTGAAATGGATAAATTGATCAAAAATGTAATGGGTATTTTAAGGACATCAGCACCGTCTTTTAGGAAGCGAGTTGGAATGTCATCAAGACCTGTACTTTTGACAATAATAAGAGATTGGAGCTCCTTATGTACAAAATCTTCTGAAACATGTTGCAGGCTAAAATTAAGACTGTGAGCATTACCAGCTCTGCTGTCATAGAAATCTGAAAAAAGTTTAGAATTATAATTATAAATAGAGGTAAGTATAGGTAAGTGCCAAAATGAAATGAAATGAAATGGGGTTTAACGTCCTACTGTTCTGCTCCTATACTGGGCTAATGAAGACGGGCATACGCCATACAGTGTGCTATGAGGGAAATTTTGCCCGGGCAGCGGCCCTATCGCCTACTCTTATATCGAATTCCAACTGCCAAGGGAGGTATCTGTTGAACTAGTGTTGAAGCCAGTAGTGAAGAATCCATTGAAGAGATTAGTAACAGTTTTCTGGTCATGGACATTCACACGATTATTGGATATTACAAATATTACCATTTGCCTCTTTGCCATTCTTATAGCCAAATTCTTTTAAACTTTTCCATAAATTTGGGGGGTTATTTTTGTGTTCATTTAATTTATTACGGTACTCAAATATGTACATTTTTCCCTTTTAATGACTCTCTGTGTATTATTTCTTACTTTACAAAAACGTTTGTAATCAAATTCATTTTTAGACATTTTGAAATGTGCCAGAAGTGAATCCCTTTAAGAAATTAATTCCAAAATGGTGGATGACATCCATGGCTCAGTCCTCTGTTTTAGTCTAACCTCTTTCACTGGAGCAACCAAATTTAAGAATTTGGTGAATTTTCTGGAATTCTTGTGGTTGAATAAATGAAGACTGGAATCTGTTGTTGGTTGTTAATATTTCTCTATTCTTTAGTTAACAATAATCAACATAACTTACAGCAGACAATTAATGTAACAATTATTGGTTCAGAACGTGCTTAATAGTAAATACACCATGGTAACTTAAAACGTTTTAGCCCGTTGACAATAATTACAACTTATAAGGTCAATTTAAAGTGTAAAACAAAGAATACTTGAGACAGGTGATTAAAGAAATATATAAGACAATATGAAATAGATATAAATGGGGGGTAATTAAGGTGGGTTAAGATCCATTAAAATATAGTTTACTGAACTGAGTAATACTGTGCGGATTAGCACGATGTATTAAACATTTACTAGCGGGTCGTAATTCACCCTACTACATTATTAAAACAACACTTTTTTTTATTTCAAAATCAGATTTGTCTGAGTGATCTTCAAAGAAAACAAATGTATTATAAAACAAATAAAATTATTACTTTATTTGTTGATCCGAGTGATCTTCTAAATCTGGGTCCAAGTGGTCTTCTATCAATTTATATACTCTTCAAAAAAAGTAGGGGATATTCAGAAACAATACAAAATTGCGGAAATGCACTGCTGTTTTTATTAGAGGTAACCAGTGTATGTTAATAACAGGTCAATTGCCTACACATGAACATAAACAGTTCATATGGGCAGCTTACCTGACGGCCCCATTTCACTCGCAAAGAGATACACCGTCAAAAGTGAAAATGGACGTTTTTGATTTTTGTCTTAATATAAGTAATTGCTCCACCAATCCTCAGACATTCAGGAAAATCGTCGTGGCATGCTCCTAATAAACCGTCCAATCACGATTTGGGGCAATCTGACCCACTCCTCTTGCAGTGCCACGGCCAATTCTTGCAGTGTTGTCTGTTGATGTTGACGTCGACGAACACGTCTCTCGATTAAATTAAACGTAACACACTAAAGCAAAGATATGCTAAACAGTAAATCTTATGTAAGAACCGATAGGAAAGCAAACATGGATAGACAAACCAGCACGCGGCAGTTTTCATCAACCCTTCCTTTGACAATGAACCTCTCCCACGTGTCGCATGTGCAGCTCAGTGGTTCTGTTGGGGCACTAAGTTCTTCATCTGTGAACATGTCAAGTGTCCATGACTATTTATCATATCTCATACTATATCTTTATATATATGTTCTATTGTATGCTGTCCTTAATGGATGTTTTGATATAATAAAATCTTATCTTATCTTATATATCACAACCTGCATAGGTATTTGCATTTCAATATCCCCTACTTTTTTTGAAGAGTATATGTTTGTCTGAGTGGTCTTCTAATCTTGGTACAAGGTGAGTAATATGCTGGCTCGCCAGCCCGGAGATCACGGGTTTGACCCCAGTGTTGGCCAAGAAAGTTCATCAGGATTTTCCGGTGTGGTTTCCTCTTGGCGTCAGTGATGCAAGATGGAGGACCTGACAAGTGAAGGACAGCTGGCTACAGTTGTTCGGATGGGACGAAAAACCGAAATCCCGGAGGCCTACAAATTGACATGCACGTAAAAGATCCCTAGCTGTTGGAATTCAATATTAGAGTAGGTCGTAGTGCCACTGTCCGGGCAAAATGACCCTCATAGTACACATGGCGTATGCTCGTCTTCATTAGCCCAGTCCGAGTGATTTTTGGTCAAAGTTGTTGGAATACCTACGTTACCTCCCCCTATAGCTTGCTCACCCTACAGCCAGTACAGGAAAAAGTGTTTTTTATATATTTTATTGGCATTAATTTTATTCTAAATCAGTAGTTTTTATGGGGTGTCATCAGCTTCATTGAATTTTAAATTGTATTCCGATATTTAGTTTCTTAATTTACCTTTAACTGGTCACAACTATCGTCTAAAATACTCTTAATTACATGGAAAAGTTTAGTTGGTGTTCCCTTTAAAAGGCAAATTCAATAATGATGTACTAGGGAATTATTGACCAATCAAATCAAAGGAGAAACTTTACTGCGCTGTGGATAAACAAAAGAACGTACTCCGTCAAGAACAGCGATGGCAATGGCGTCGAAAGCCAGATATTTTGTCTTAAAAGTTTGTGCTTTATTTTGTAAGTTAGTCATTTTATTTTGAAAATATTCTAAGATATATTTGATTTATCTCTACCTTTGTTATGTCATCATCTCGTTCTTTGAAAAATGGTGTTTGAAAAGGTTACCGTAACCGTACAAGCTGCGGATTCAAACGTTTGGCTAGTCCTAGCCATTATATAGGGATACTGTTGAATTTGATATTTTGTTTTTGAGAAAATTGATCTGTAACAAGAATATATTGACGAGGTTATGGGATGTATATATTTCTCAGCTTGCCTAGACGAGTTATAAATAGGCCTAGTATAAAAATAATAATAATGCTTTATTACACAACTGCATGGTATATACACGAGTATGGTAAAGCATATACAATACAAAGTACAATACAATAATAAACATCAAGAACATAATAGAATAACGTAGCCTACAAAAAAATATACACTCCTAGTCCTACTCCTAGCTAAGTACGACCTAGCGCTAGCAGTAGCAATGCAAAAAGGGGAAAAGCTTTTTTTTAATTTGACTAAAATTGAATATTTACTAGCATTCTGACCGCCCTAGTACAATGTAACATTTTTACACGTTGGTCATTATTAATTAACAATTAATTGAATTAAGACTAAGAGCGACAAGCTTTTGATTTTATATCAATATTATCATGTTCTTGTATATTCAGTATATTGCTACCTAGTAGTACCTGACTGTCCTGTTCTTCAAGTAAAAGTGTGACTTAATTTACTTATTTTATTTAATCAAATTTAAAGATACATTGTGGGAGATTCGATAACGATTTGGCAGTTCTCACTATAATAGTTTAATTAGTTATTACCTTAAAGGAGCTAAATCGCTAATATTTTGGATTTAGAAATTGACACAAATGGGTCGCAACGCATATAATAATGTAATATGAATGTGAACTGATTTACGTTCAGTCGTTTCTGTTTTACTGTAATTTCTAATCAGATAAGTCTCAATCAAATGGCAATCTCTAGCGTCTGGTTATTCCACTCTATACCGATAGTATGTATTGCGCATGCTCTCCAGATAAGAATATGAGGCCACCGTTTGACATGACTTGTGGAATATCTCTAGCCTTGTTCTCCGAGTCCCTTGTTACAAATGGCGCTGATATGCACTATGGTACACGATTCGTGTACAAATGGTAAAATGTTTATTTTGTCTTAATTATTGGATATCAGAAGCACATCTTTTCCCGGTAAGATCACAACATCAATGTTGATTTAAATTGACAAATAATTCGTGTTTTCAATGTCGAAGATTTTGAATGATATTGAGTTAGAGACTTGGCTACTTTAACTAAGTTTCTGCTTAGGCTAAGGAGCGACAAGCAATTTGATTGGTCAAGACATTGGAACATAACAACTCTGCTTTTAATCGAGGTAGAATGTTTAAACTTGATGTAGATATTCATTCTTGACTGAGTTCAATGATTAACATTTCGAGCTAAGGATTCTCTACAGACCAAAGTTATCATCTGAATAATCTGATTGATTTTAAATGTATATACAGTGTTTAATGTCATGAGACCTCTTTGAATATTTTTGTTCACACTCTAGCCTATAAACAATAGTTATCATCTGATTGATTTTAAATTTTAACAGTGTTTATAGTCCTGAGACCACAAATCTTATTGATTTTTTTTTACAAATTTTGATAATTATTGCTAGAGTTACCTATGATGACTTTGAAAATTATTGTAGATGCTCTAAAGACGGAAATTATCATTTGATTGACTTTAAATTAATACACAGTGTTTACGGTTATGAGACGACAAAATCTATTGATTTTCAACAATTTCTGATAGCTTGAACACCTAAATTCATTAAATTCAATGTTTTGTACACAAAACGTTAACATGTGGCAGAACTAGAAGCCAAACAAATTCTAATTATTTCTGATAATTACTTAATGGATTGCTAGTAACAACTTGTTACTCTTAATTAGATTTTAGTTTGATGTTGTAAATGTTTTCTCATTACCGTCAAAAGAAAAAATATGCGACACCCTTTTTTAACTGCTCGGACGACTTAGCTGCCGTGGGCATGTTTCCTTGCCGGGCAACCTATCTTTCTTTTTAAAATCTTGTAGACTCTTCACAGGCTAAAGTTATTATCTTGAAATTTTTACATAGTGTTTGTGTTTGTGAGACGTAGATGCCTATTTAATGGAAAGATCTATGTGATTATGAAAGAAAGCACTTACTGTATATAACAGAAAGTAAATATTGTAACTTTTCTCCCACAGTTGTAATAATTTTACAAGTACACTGTGATGATGTTCCATCTAAAGAGGAAGCATGTGGATATTGGAAGAGAATAGCTGATCAGATGTCGAATCAAAGTCAACAGATGCATTGTGTGGCCAACTCAACTGACCCTTGCACACGATTAGACTGTCAGGGCACCTATAAATATAGGGTGAGTTTTACACTTTTACAGCCATTCACCTAATACAGGGCTAGACTTACACCACAACTTGGCTCCCAAGATGGATTATCTATAGTAAGTTATCAATGGTCAGCTATGATAGAGATTAGAGACAATAGTAGTAAAGAGATAATCCATCTATAAACATTAGTCAACTTAGTAAATGAATGAATGGATATCACTTAAATACTACCCCTTAACAACTATAAAATATTATTAAGTTTAAATGTATATAGCTGACTCAACTTAATTTTATTCTTATCATATTTTTAGCTTATTTTCTCAACTATTTACCACCTATATTTATATTTTTTGGAAGAATTGCATTTATTATGGCCATGAATTACTCAAACGCCTTGGTGAACTCACCAAGACAACCCCAACCAGCTCTCGCATCAAGGATGGTGCGTGATTACAAATACATTGTGCTATGTTCGCCTAAAGAGGGGAAATCCTTCAAAGGCACAAAAGTCTCGAAAATCGGAGATGAAATTAGGACAAAATGGGAGACAGCAGCTCTCCCAGACATCAGAATACTGGCAAACGGAAACGCCAGACTAGGATTCCAAAATATGGAGGACGCCCAATTGGCGACAAACATTAAAACGTTAGGGAATATAAAGGTTGAAATCTCCATGTCGGAGCATAACCAAACAGACAGAGTAATAATATATAACATTCCAAAAGATTACACAGACGAGGAGATCCTGGACAACCTCAAACTGGGAGGTTACAAACCCCTGGCAATTTACCAATACCCGGTACGACCAGGCAAAACAATCAGGACGGTCCAACTAACCTTCAAAAAGGATGATACCTCGCAGGGTATTATCTACATGCTATATGAAAGAAGGTCTGTTCACCCATATATACCCAAAGTCAAAAGGTGCACAAAGTGCCAGAGAATAGGACATCTAGAAAAATTTTGTAGGAGCACAGCTATCTGTGGCAAATGTGGTAACAACCACAAAACCGAGGAATGTAGGGCCACTCAGACAAAATGTGTCAACTGTAAAGGGAATCACGGAGCTGATTCACCAAAATGCCCCAAATATATAAACACAAAGTCAATCTTGACCATGCAGTACGTGCATGGCATATCTCACAAAGAAGCCACGGCTCATATTAATAATAAAACCATACCCGAACAAAAAAAAGTAGTAAATCCTCCTAGCAAAGAGGAAGTAACAAAAGACAACAATAAAACTTTCACTCCCCAATTTAAAAGCATAAAAGAGTTTGTCAACTTCTGCAAAGAATTGACTAAACTAGGAAAAATAACAAATGAGGAAGAAAGAAACATAGAAGTAGGGAAAGTTATAATAAATCATGTAACTAACACGTCAAAAATGAACAGAGTTACCCAAACCCCATCAAAAAAAGGAAAACTCCCTCAAACAGAAAGGGCTCCAGAAACAGAAGAAACAACTAAATCAAAGGAAAACCGAAGAAGCCGTAGTCAATCAAGACCGGCTAAAAGAAACATAAGTTCAGTTGTCAATGAAGACGAAGACAATTCATTAAGGCATGGAAACAATCCCATGATTACTGACAATGAAATAATCAACCAAGACAAGCGCAAATGCAGCGTAAACAATAGCGAAGATGTTTTCTAAAAATAATCTAAAATACTAAAACAACAAATTACTAACAATTAAAATGGCGAAGCCAATTAATATCTTTCAACTTAACGTAAATGGGCTGCGGTCTCGTTTGATAGAACTCAAACAATATGTCTATCAAAACAGCCCAGACATACTATGTATACAAGAGACACGGTTAACTCCCAAAAACAATGATATCAATTTGGACAGTTACACAATGGTGAGGCATGATCGACCGGGCCAATCAAAAGGAGGCGGTCTCGCCATCTATGTTAAAAACAACATCCCTTTTAGCAGATTAACAATAAATCAATCAAGTAAATTAGAATTAATGGCGATTGACATTGCTATAGGAAACAAACAAACTTTAAGCATAGTAAATGTCTACAACCCACCAGCTACTAAAACAAAAAACAAAGACTACGATAGGATTTTCAAACAAATTCCGGGAGACAACCTAATCATATGTGGGGACTTCAACTGCCATCATAAGGCATGGGGCTCACCAATACTTAACAATAATAATATAGACATATAATACTGACCCACAGGCTAGGTGACTTAATAAGGAACAGCATCTAAGAAATAACTTATCAGAGACCTGCCCTTCAGTATGTCCTCTGCCTACAATCTTCCTCTAATATACTACTAGAGGTTACTTGGTAACAACAAACAATACATAGTAATTATATATATATTAAACTTAATAATATTTTATAGTTGTTAAGGGGTAGTATTTAAGTGACATCCATTCATTCAATTACTAAGTTGACTAATGTTTATAGATGGATTATCTCATTACTACTATTGTCACTAATCTCTATCATAGCTGACCATTGTTAACATACTATAGATAATCCATCTTGGGAGCCAAGTTGTGGTGTAAGTCTAGCCCTGTATTGGGTGAATGGCTGTATTAAATACCACCTGGTCATAGTTTCATCACACTATTTCAATTTAAAATGAAAATATAAACTTTCAGACTATAAGCAATCAAGAGTAATCAGTAGTCTTCCCAAATAACATTCTGGTCCATAAATTATTAAAATCAGAGTTCATGTTATTAATCATTATCTATTGATAGGGATGTACGATATTGCAAAAAGGGACGATATCGATTTTGGCATTTTTTTCAACGATATACAATGTAGTTAAATATCGCGATATTTAAAGTTGCAATTGCAAATTTTCAAGTTATATTTTTAAAATGTATTAAAATAAAGCCTTAAAATAGATGGTATCCATAAACAGTCCTACCTTGTTAAAGAATAATCCTATTAATCCTATAATTCGCTATTGCCAGCTGAAACAGGGGAGGTAATTGTGTTGTTATTTCCTGTGTTATAGGTTTTTAAGGGTGGGAAATAATGCCCATGATCGTATAATAGTGATTTGATAACCTATTGAGCAAAAGACATAGAAATAATTATGTTTTGACTTTCTTAGAAAATTTGAAATTCTCGCTTTAATAATATGTCACTTTGCTATTAAATAAATTAAATATAAATGCATTAAAGCTGACTACAGTGTGAGTAAGACTTGTGGGTAAGAATTGCTTTATTCATACACTTTAAACTTTGCTTTTTTTATAATATAGATTTATTAAAATGAACAAAACAACATCCTTTTTGGATAAAAATTAAATACAACCGCTGATGTTTAAAAAGCGTCTGCTTGTGACCTTGTGTAAGAAAATTCTCAAATATCACCTGCAGCGGAAGTTAGTAGATGCGGTCTTCAAGTCTTGTATTGTAAGTTCAAACAGTTTAACAAATACTAAATGATCCGGACTATCTTCCATTCAAGCATTCGATTGGCTGCGGTATTCCTGGCCTAACAGTGACAGTAATCTATTTATAGATCGTTTTATTCTGGCTTTCAAAAATTAAGTTTTGTAGAGTTTTCTAAAAATATTAACGAAAATCAAAACATTAGTTTTATTATAGTTTATTGCCGTCGGCTAATTTCCACTGCTGTATAGAGTATTTATTATCTATTTTTATGATAATTTTTTCGATATTTGAAGTTTTTGGCGATATTCGATAAACCACTATATCGACAATTTTTGGCCACATGATATCGGAGTTGGTCTGAAAATACCATATCGCGATAAATGACGAGAATATCGTACAGCCCTATCTATTGATACTTTTTATACGCTCACATTTTCATGTGGACGTATATTGTCGTTGCCCCTGTCCATCCACAATTAGTTTATGGAAACTCTACAAGTCACAATTCTTGTCCGATTTTGATGAAACTTGAAATATAGGTTAAATTCCAAAAGATGTTGGTTCCTTTCGGATCGAAACTTCATGGATTATGGCCTCTGACTGAATGTTCTAGAGTCAACAATTTTCATCTGATTTTGGTGAAACTTGAAATGCATGTTTATAACCCAAAGAATTATTCCTTTTGATATTTTCGCATATCGGATGGTAACTTCCTGAATTATGCCTCTTGATTGTACTAAAAATCGCGCTTTTAGCTTTTGATCCCTCTAGAGGTCATTATTATTATCTGATTTAAAAAAACATTTGAATATATCACCGTTACACAGTAATGATGGTCGAGTTTGAATTTCGTGAAAATCATACCAAAACTGCCGGACAAAATGGCCGCCCCTCGTGCGCAAATAATGTAAAAATATGGTACCTATATCAAGGTTATGGATCCTCTAGAGGTCACAATTTTGATCTACATGTTTATATCCCAACGATCTTTTGATCCTTTTGATATTCGTGCATTTTGGATTGTAACTTCCTGAATTATGGCCCTTGATTGTACGAATAGTGTAAATATATGGTATATCAAGGTTGTGAACCCTCTAGAGGCCACAATTTTGATCCGATTTTGATGAAACTTGAAATACATGTTTATAACCCAAAGATCTTGGTTCCTTCCGATATTCACACATATCGGATTGTAACTTCCTGAATTATGGCCCTTGATTTTATGAAAAATCACGTTTTTAGTTTGTGGTCCCTCTAGAGGTCACAATTTTTATCCGATTTAAAAAAAGTGTATTATTGCCCCTGATTGTACGAAAAAGCATTTTTTTTTAGCTTGTGCTCTATCCATCTCTTGCAAAATGTGGGCGTATCTTGCCTGGCATCCACTGGTTATTGTTTTTCAGTCATGGATGATACCAACATCAACAAATATAGAGATTGATTTTTGTTTTGGTATTGTTTTAAATCACTGTGATGAGCCAGTTGCTCTAGATATATACCTCCAAATACCCAAAAGAAATGTCTCCTACCAAAGTAGAGTTAGACATGATGAGTTAATGAAAATACCAGGTATTTATTATTTCAAAAGTGTTTTGAGTTTTTAATTTCTTTTCGGTTCGTCTGGCGGTCCGACGTCCACAATCAAATTGATTTCATTTTTTTTTGACCGATGTTGCGTAAATGTTTTGTGCGTACTATCAAAATAGGTCTTGTTACGTACATTTTTAGATACATTAGATAAATAAGTTTTTAATTATCAAAGTGCATTTCCAAGTGCAAAAACGTATTCCCGAAGACATTCAGCTGAAAGAATGACGTGCAAATTTTCATTCTGATACAAGCGAGAAGCAGGCATGTAACATGGACAAGTGTGCAGTTATGTTCTGCTGTATTACTATTTTTAGATGCATTAAATACTACATGTACTGTAGCTACAAGAACGTAGCTAAAAATGTTGAGATATACTGATGTGCTTGTTTTTACCTATGATTAGGTGCCTTTGACTTTAGTTTCACCTGGCAAACTTAATTTCTTTATTAATTAATGCATGTATTGTATCTTAAAAATAAGTTAATTTAATGTTGGAGAAAGCAATCTATTATTGCTTCAATTTTAGTTGGATCTGGCAGAAATGTTTTAAATAACAATAATCAATCGTTTTGAAGAAAACATTGTCATTTTTTCTTATTTAAAGCCCGATGTGATTAAGGATGGGGGTTTGCCACTTGAAACTAAATAGCACCATCTCTTATCTCGAAACACGGAGGGCTGAGAGATGAGGTTTCTTATTTGATTAAATACAAATAAATAATTATCAAAGTGAATTTCCAAGCGTAAAATTGTATTCCCAAAGAAATTCAGCTGAGGGATTGACGTGCAAATTTTCATTCTGATACAAGCGAGAAGCAGGCACGTAACATGGATATTAGTGCTGTTGGTTATTACCTTTTTTTTTATTGAAATTCCCTGAGTAATTCTGTCCATGTATTATGTGCTTTGAATCAAAACTGGCTTGAAACTTTAGTCCAATACCATAGCCAGGTTGTGAAAAGGATCATTTTGCACATATCCAGACAATATCCATTTGAAAAAAAAAAGAATTTTAACTTTCTGTTTCACAGACAAAATTCTTGTACCAGTACTGTGACCTTACCCATATTGTCGTTCGGAAGTCAAAAACTCGTAACTCAAAATTTGAAACTTTCAGGAGAATCAAAAAACGGTTTATAACATTAACGCGGCATAATACCATCTTGTTTATTTGAAGATATATTGAAGTTTGGGTGTCTTTCATGATCATAATTTCCAAATAGTGCCCATTATTTTTCACAGTCTATTAATCAGACCTATGAGGAATTGTCACATTCGTTGGGGCATAAAAGTCGAGATACAGGTTTTTTTCATGGACATTTTGTACTTAAGTGGTAATGTAACAAACATAAGAGAAACAACTTAATAGACTTTAAAATGCAATTTCATTCACAAACAAAACAGGTAATCATAAAATATTACATTTTATATTGTATTTATAAAAAAAAATTTTTTAACAGTTAATGACTTAAAGCCACGAAGATCTAACAGAACAATTCAACTAACTATAATACGAATAGTCAAATAACTATGGAGAACAAATTATTGAGATTTATTCATGGAGTAGCACGTCGTAAAACCCATGATAATCAGGAGGTATCACTCTTTTAAGTTCCATGAGATGTTTAAACTTTGACGCTTTTATTTTTTGTGGACCATTGTAGAGTGGTGTTATGCTGTGATAGAGGTTTCCTGAACATTGGGCCTTTCTGGGAAACTCCATGTAGTCCTCTGTACTGAATAGTCCCATCTGGATTGTATTTTAAGACTCTTGAATCCGTAAGACGGAGATCACCAAGCTTTACTTCCGGTCGAAGGGATGTATATATTTGAGCTGAGAAAAATCCTTGAAGAATGTGTTATCTAGGTAACTGACTTTGTATGGTTTGCTGACTCGAACATTTTTCATGACATTAATGTAATCAGCAGGCACATAGATTGACCGATGACGAAGTGCATGCTTAATAGTGGAGTAGACAGAATCACGCTCCACTTTTGTGTAACCCTTTTCAAGAATTTTCTGGAATATTTTGTAAGGTTTTTCTTCACTGATAAGTCTAACAATTTATTACATAATGTGCAGTTGTGATTTTTTTATGTGAACCTATCGCTGTCAATGATCAGAACCATGTCACCGTCAACTGTTGTTTTTTCTATGTAATCAGCAAAACAAGAAGTAAAATTGCTCGACCCTAGATCACCCTCAGCCTCATGCGAAATGTAACATGAGACCTCAGCTGAACTGAGATCATAAATAGTGTAGTTGTGAAATGCCAAATGTAACAGGATACGTCGCCTGAACCGAGATCATAAATAGTGTAGTTGGTACATGCAAGTTTTGTCTTGTAATACATAGAACTGGCCAATAAGCTTGGAGCTAACAAAACAGTCTGGAGGTCCACGGTAACCACTCTACACCTGCCTTCTAATTCATTAACTTTGTCGGTTTCTTTTTCGTTTCTGGCTTCATTTTTTTCTGTATGTGATATCGATACACTTCCTCCTGCAAATTACCAGTTTCAAAACTACAGCACACGTCACATTGATCTTTTTTAGTATGGAAAATGGAAACCTTCATTTCATTCAAAACCGATTTAAATACCTTGATTGACACCAACTTGATTTCGGTCATAGTGCAATATTCTTTATAAATACCATAGAGACTGAGAGAATGAATTGATGTCAGACTGAGCGTATAATCTGGATGTAAAAACTGACAATAATGCCATTGTAATTTGGGCAAAGATTCGACAAATAATCGAACAGCTTTTCTATTTCCTTTGTGGTTTGCATGCTTTCGAGTAGGCGTTTTAGATAGCGCCGATGTTGTTTGCGTGCCATTTTGAGAGGCATTTGTCCATTTAAGTAACTGCCATTTGCCTATTCCTAACGTAGACAAGCATGTTTTTAGAAACTCTTGATTCGAGATTCATTTCGTTTTAGATGGTAGACAAGATTGCGATTTCTTCTTGAATTATCTCCTGTTGTCCATTCAGAAGGGATGTGCGAATAAACATTATTTGCTACAAAAACTCTTTTTTGATTCCCGTCCATCTTCCAGAATCCCTCAAATAAATTCTGCCTATCTTCTGTAAACTCATTTGGTTGTTTGGATGTTTTGGTTCCTTTGCGACCGAATAAGTGTATTTCCCTTCCGTTTTCTTTGAACCGATGTATTTCTGGCCTTGTATTTGGGCTAAAAAATTAAACTTTCTCTGATTTGACTTTTCAGACTCCCTGAGCGCAAACATGGGCCCTTTTATTCTTCTTCTTCACTGTTGTATTATCAGAAGAATTAGATAACTCGGAATTACTTGACTGCAAAGGGAATAAACATTTCTTTTTAACAGGAGGCATCCATTCTGGATCTTCGACTAGGTGCGGTAGTGATGGCTGACACTTGTTCATTTAATGGGTTCTTTGGCATTGATGGAAGTGAACTGGAACGTTGTTATGTACATGTACGTTTTCGTTGTTAGTAAGATCAGGGCTTAAAGTTGCAAAAGTGTTTGCTTGAAATGCCAGTTTTAAGCATGTTCCGCCCCGTGAAAGTGTCCAGAATGGATTTGTGTTGTGTTGATGTTTTGGACAAGCTGCTCCACTAGGAATATTTATTGGCTTCCATGGGTTCCATGTCAGCCGTATATGCTGGTCAAGACCTAGGGTAATGGAAGATGACCATAACTAGATCTGACGCAACTGTCATTTCACATGCCGGAAAGAGAGCCTTTTTTTTTTTTCAAAACCCAATTTTCAAACATGACTATGGATCGACCTCCACTATGTAAGTATGCAATTGTACGGCCAGTACAGAATAATGCACACGTATAGAAGCCACATAATCTCATGATTTGTGTTATAGAGTTGTATACATAGTCGTCAACAGATTATACTGAGTGTTGTGTTGATAATTAATGATGAGTGTCTGGTAGTAAAAGTTAATTGATATGTGGGAATCTAATCAATGCCGTGAAGAATCCGCTATTACGGTCACTCACGATGTAAATGAGATTATTATGATCGTGTAAAAAAGGGCAATTGATATGAAGTACTGCCCTTCGAATCCAACCAACTGTCATACCAAATAAAAACAGCATAGAAATTACCTAAATCCTCAACAATGTAGAAAAATACATTATAATTTTTATACGCCCACATTATCTAGAGGCTAAAGTTAATATCCGATTGACTTTAAATTTATACACAGTGTTTAAGGTCATGAGACGAAGAAGCCTATTAATTTTCAGCGATTTCCGATAATTACTGCCAGAGTTAAGGCCCTTGATCACTTAAAAATATCTTGTGGATGCTGTAGAGGCCGAAGTCAATATCCGATTGTCTTTAAATTGATACACAGTGTTTAAGGTCATGAAACGAAGAAGCCTATTGACTTTCAGCGATTTTCGATAATTACTGCCGAGTTATTGCCCTTGATTATTTCAAAATATCTTGTGGATGCTCTAGAGGCTAAAGTTATCATCTGATTGACTTCAGATTGATACACAGAGTATAAGGTCTTGAGACAAACAAGTATATTGATTTTCAATGAATTTTGATAACTTGAACAGCTAAATCCATGATATTAAAAGTTTCGAATACTAAACCTTAGCATTGGGCAGAACTTTATAAAAACCAGGCAAATTCTAATGATTTTCTGATAATTACTTAATGAGTTGTTACTCTAAATAAGATTTTAGTGTATTATAATTTTTTCATTACCGAAAGAAAGTAAAAAATATCCGACAACTCTTGTTGACTGCCCGGACGATTTAGCTGCTGTGGGCGTATGTTTCATTGCCTGGCAACCTATCTTTTATAGCGGTATTATGGCCTTGTGCGAATTGTAGAAATAAAATCTAGAGATTAGTTAACTTGCTTACCGAAAAATTAAGAAAATCACGTATTCCAATGCTATTGTACAGCAATATTGATAATTCCATGTGTTGCAAAAATGTTCTGTAGGCCTATATATGGTTACTCTTATACACAACAATATTCTAGGGGGTGCTAGTGTCGCTAGCTGTGAAATGTTGTGTATATATGGTTACTCTTTTAAATCAAATTAGTGAATGTATGACAGATTGTTATATAAAAAAAAGTTATAATTTGGTAAACATTTATGCTGGTTCTAAATGAATGAGAATATCATGTTTAACACATGATAGGAAAATTACGATTGCATCCTTTGGCTTGATTAACCAATCTCTATACTTATTTACATCATACTTGACAAATTAGATAATTGTTATGTAGGTCTAAAACCCAAAGCTACAAAACTATCATATTTGTGAGCAATTGTCAGACAGCAGCGTGATTCTAGAAGCGAAAAGATGGAGCGAGTCTGGTTGGATGTGGTTTGAGAGAATGACTTTACTGTTATTGTACTTTGCTTGTATCTATATGTATCCGGCTATGATATATAGAATGTAAAAACGAACTGTTGCATTGTTATTCCTGGTAAGACAACCATCTTAACTCAGAAAACAGTAAGAAGTAAACACACCACGTGAAGGGGAAGCAAAGACCACAAGTGAAAATACTAGACGTCGTAGACGATCACAAGGCTACTAAAATATGTAGTAAGAAAAGATGCATGGGTCATACACCGGAGGTGGCGACCGGTTTTAGCATGTCCTCAGCTCTCCACGTCGGACAGAAAGACCCATGGTACTACATTAGTTATTCATTATTAGGATTTACGTCATAATTTATGTGGCTCGTAATGCCGTAAGAGATGGTCTAAATCAAATAAATGTGAGATATATGCCGTGGATAATTATATATTTATCTCCATTTCGAAGGTATTGTATTAATTGTAACTCAAAATTATCCAGGTCAGTGTGTTTTCTATAGAGCATGTGGTAATTACGTGTAAGCTACTGGATTGTTTTTTCTACGGCTAATTCAGCTATTTCGATTATTTAAGTAGCCAAAAGGAATATTTGATAATAAATAATTATCATAAGCCTTTCTAATATTTCATTTTTAAGTCCAATATTTTTTTTTTTTTTGTACCCCAAACTGACAAAGTGGTATAGACACGTGATTTCACAATACCCTACCATGAATAAAAAACATGAAATATGAATTTACTTGGAAAAGTTTTCATGCGTTATCAAAAATGACCAGCAGTGAAAAATTTGAGCTGAAATGACCTGAAGTGATCAAAAAAGTAAATATTTGTACCTCAAAATAGGTCAGTAGGGCAATAGGGATATCAAAACCATGTAACTCGTAACAATGGCGTAATACACATTAAATATTACTATATTTTATACACATTATTTATAAACTAAAACTATGTTTATTTTCTATATTAAGTAGGTGACCCACTTACATGTAGTATATCACCCACAATTATGCATCTCTTGTAATTCTCTTACTCTATACAATGCAATGTTGATCAATTTCATTTTAAAAAATTATAGTAATTTTTAGCGTATCAATTCTATTATTTATTTACTTGAAATTCATATGAAGATGTTTTAATTTATTGAATACTGTCATTTATTATCATTGGTGTTGATTCAGTAGCCTCTGCTTGGTTTTAATCTAGTTACAAGGTTTTGAGAGACTTAAACTTCAGGCCAATAGAATTACGATGTTTTGATCACATGGCCACAAGTGTAAGACAGCAGGAACATTTAATATGTGACAATATGCGACAACCCTTGTTGACTACTTGGACAACTTAGCTGCTATGGGCGTATGTTTCATTGCCTGGCAACCTATCTATGTTGTTTTTTGAAATCTATTTGTTACTTACTGCTAATTAGAAAAAGAATGAAATGTAAGTATCCAATATTTTCATGTGTGATGAGCCTCAAATTTTAGCATCAAAGAAGTAAATTATATACGTCATGCAACTATGGCTGCTTGTGACATCCTTCTCCACTCTTATTGCAACATTCCTTCTAGAAGCTTTGGTGCTTATGTCCTCTTGAATTAATGCAACAGTGGTACGTTCTCTGTGTTCAGATTTATTTTCATGTAGACATATATTGTCGGCGCCCCTGTCCGCCCATCCACAATTTGTTTGTGGACTGTACTCTACAGGTCACAATTCTTAATCGATTTTGATGAAACTTGAAATATCCAAATGATCTTGGGTCTTATCGATATTGACATGTATCGGATCAAAACTTTATGGATTATGGCCCCTAATTGCACGAAAAATCATGGTTTTAGCTTGTGGACACTCTAGAGGTCACAATTTTTATCCGTCTTAGATGAAACTTGAAATTTATGTTTATATTTATTTATTTATCTTTATTTTTTTATTTATTTATTCTTCAAGAAGTTCAAGTAAAGGTTACAACATAACGACAATAAATATATATATGTATATGAAATAAAAACTATGTGCTGCATTTTTATGATTGGGAAAGTGACAACAATAAATATAGATATGAAATAAGAATTATGTGCTGCATTGTATGATTGGGATGTGAAATGAGACGAGAATAGAGAAGTATGATAGGTATATATGGTTTCATGAGGAGACCTTTACTTGGGATAGCCCATAACGCCTGACCTATATAACATCCGTTGCATATTTCCAATAGGGTCTATGGTTGTGTCAGGTCATCATTAGGAGACAAAACTTAATAAATATGCCTATCACGGCAATGTATCACAAATAATTGAATATATCTATGTCTGCATGTTATACATCAACTAATTGTCCCCAGCCTTTCGAAGAAAGCAGGCGACTATTAAAATGAGTTCGCCTGTCTGTCTGACCACCGGAATCTGACCTTCTATCCGTATATATATATGCATACACCATGTCCAACCAGACACTATATAATAAAAAAGAACAGGAATGCAATGCCTGTTAAAGATTCGATTTTACCTGCTCTTGCTTCGGCTCGTTTTTTTTCAACAATTCGTAATGTCAGGCAATCAAACCTCTTCGATTCACTCAGATATGTTTTTTCTTCAATCTAGTCGTTTTGATTTGCATTAATACTCCCACAAAACGATATCATAGCCACTTGTTTCCAATATTTACATTATTTTCGTCCATTTCAATTTTGTATAGTTGATAATCAGTTTGATAAATATGCAATTAATTACAGATACATTAAGGAAGATTAGATAAAGAGCTGGCAGTTCTTGCTATAATAGTTAAAAACTAGATGATGTAAAGGGAATTTGCTGAAAATTTCAGTCAAATTGATCCACTCTGAACTGAGAATTTAGCGGTTGAATTTTCGGCCTAGCCTCGATCATCATTACTAAAGTCGATATGATAAAAAAACATAGTCTTGATCATCCATTTCATTATTAAATCATGAATAAAAGTTGAGCAGCAAATCGGATCCTAATCCAGTAAATATCACAGGCTAGCGATAACATCAAGAGTTGATTGTGGTCTGGATAAGTTAATTAATGTCTAATTAATAATTTAGATAACATTTCAGGCCTAAAGAAAGACATGCAATAGGCAGATTTAGCTCTTGGTTAATGTATGTCATCTATTTATTTCAGGATTTTGGCAGGGGAAATTAGTCTCACTGTTGGCTTGTTTAGCTTGTGGACGTATCTTTCAAGGCAACCGCTTGTTTTTATGGAGGTGGTGTATTTTCATTGCATTTTTTAAAATTAATCAGATGAAATATAATATTTATGTTTCAGGTGGAAGTATCACAACAGCCTCTTTTGGTAAAGTGGATGCATTTTTATATTTTCATATGGTAAAGACTGGTAGCTTTGTGAACTTTTCTGTAAGTAATAGTAAGGAAAATTAGTAATGATCAATTTATCGCTTACATTATCAGTACCATTGGCCTTTATAAGTCTCAGTTGGTAAATGTGGGTGTATCCTGCCTGTCAGCCGCTGGTTTCCAGATGTTTTCGAGGGGGTCGATTTCCCTAATTTCTGAAAATTGACCCACTTGACATGGAATGACCCTTTAGCAGGGAAAAAAATAACCGGGTTCGCATCGCACTTTGCGATCCATTTCCGACGTTACTGCGAGTCAATGGAAAAATTGATTAGCAAAATTTTACTTGGGAATCTATAAAGATGTGAATCATTTTTATATGTACATGTACCGATATGTGCCGGAGCAAAACAGTAGGACGTTAAATCCCATTTCATTTAATTTCATTTCCGATATGTGGTTTAGTCTGTGATTCAAGACTGTATTAATATTGATGCATTTGGTGTAGTCTGTTATTGAAGACTATTTTACATGTGATGTGTTTGGTGTCATCTGTTGATGTGATTGTATATTGGTATGTGATTGAAAACTTGGATTATATAGCTTTCTTGGTACCAGTAGTTTATTTTCTGGTAAAGAATTCCTGGTTTTCCTATAGAACATTTGCCTATGCCTATGGTTCTAAAATAGGCTTTTTTTTCAGATGGTAATAAAATTGAAAATAACAGCACTAGGAGGTTTCTCAATGTGGCCACCAGGTCTACAAAGAACTTTGGTTCCTAATGAGAGAATTCCAGTACCACCTTGTGAACATCCTACAAATGATTCAGCAGTCATACCTCCTCCAGTTTGTCAACCACCTCACTGGAGACAAATATCTGGACATGTTCCTCAACAATCTGTCACACCTGGAACAAATCCTTCAGGTAAATATTCTATTAACTCATTTTATTTGGATTGATCCATAAAGAAATTTGTTTTAATTTTTATGAATGTTTTAATTTATGTTACTAAATGTTAGAATTCTTTTTAACTAGAAAATGAGCTTATAGCAGGGTTCGAATCTTATTTCCAATACCAGAAGCAATTTTTTGCTTGTTATTTTTAAAATTAGAAGCAAAAACAAAGTGTAACTAGAACTGCGATGCAGTAATGACGGGTTTCACCGGTGCCACGTTACCCTAAACATATGTCACTTCCGGTACCAATGAAACCATTAAACAGGTTTCCACCTCATCATTGCACACATCAAATAAAATGGACGCCGAATCAACCAAATCCAGCAATATCAATTCATTTTATATATTTGTTACATGTAAGTGTACAGTACTTCCGGTGATAATGAAAATATTCAATTAGTTTTATGAAATCAGAAATGGCATAAGGCATCACATGGTGAAAATTTTATGTAAATCGAATAATAATTGCTACTTTTATAGACCAAAAACCTTAAAAAGTGACTTGTAGAAAACCGTCAATTGCTCTGCAACCATACAAGTTAGAAACCATTTTCTGGAATCTGTATGATCGTATGGGTTTATTCTATTTGTTGATTGGAATCAAATATCATAATTTTAAAAACATAACAACTCAGACTCATTTGAATAAAATATCTGTTTTGAAAGCTAAAAATACAGTTTTTGCCAAAATGACGTTACTTCCGGTGATAATGAAAATCTTAAATTACTTGTATGAAATCGTAAATGGCATTAGGTATCACATAGTGAAAATTTCATGAAAATCGAATAATAATTGACACTTTTATGGACAAAAAACCTTGAAAAGTGACCTGTTGAAAATTACCTATTTCTCTACAACTGAACAAGTTAGAAACCATTTTGTGATACCTATATGATCGTATGGGTTCATTCTATTAGTTGATTAGAATCAAATATCAAAATATTAAACAAACAACAAATACGACTCATTTCAATAAATTATTTGTTTCTAAGGCTATAAATACAGTTTTTACCCAAATTTCGTCATTTCCGGTGACATGGAAAATGTTAAATTGAGTTGAACTAGTCACAATTGACATTACGCATCAAATGGTGTCACTTTTATGAAAATCCAATAATAATTGACTCTTTTACAGACACAATAGCGTAAAGAGTGACTCATGCAAAATTGACCATTTCTCGGCAACTGCTCATATTACAAACTAATTTTGAGATAGATTCTCTTCGTATGGATTAATGCTACAATTTTATGAAAGTTGCGAAGAAATATTTTAAAATATGAAAAGCCTGAATGGGTTGTAAATAGCTCATTTTTTCACCTTTTTTCACCTTTAAATCAAAATGACCCGAAAACGAAATCGAAATTAAAAAAACTGAGCCCGATGTTTTCTGCGCCTTTACAGGGCACACACTTTCAGTCATACCAGATTTGAAAAAAATAATATTTGCTTTCAAAAAGTGGTACCGAACTGTCAAAATTGTAGTTTTTGCTAAATTTACGTCACTTCCGTTGCCGAAAGGTAACTTTACCGGTAACAAAAAAAATGACATTTTGGATTACGGAGCATATGAACTTTGTTTTATACAAATCGAGCAATAAATAATTAATCCAGGACTGAAAAACTGAATTAGCCAATGGGGGTCAAGGAAATTTACGATGACAAAAAATGGTGCCATTTTTGGTCAAATCAGATGACTCTTTAACCCTGGGTAAAATACCACATTAAAATATTCATGAATAAAAAAGTTTTTTGTAAAAATTTAAATTTTCAAAATTTGGCGCCTAATATCTCCGACGATTCGTGGAAAATCAAAAATCTAAAGAACCGTGGCTATGTGCCTTGTCTCTGGCTATGTCAAAATGTATCCAATGTTAAAATCCGACGATTATTGTTAATATTACTGCAATATTTCAAAAATCGACAAATTCCACGATTTCGGACATTTCGCATTGTCGCAGAACGTTCGAAATAGCTTTAATCTCTAAGTCACACCCACTTTTCCAGTAAAACCGAAGACATCGAATCAATCCGACAAGTAGTTTCTGAGATACAATCAAATTGGAAAAAAAAAATAATAATAATAAGAAGAATAATAATAAGAATAATTTTAACAAAAACAATAGTGTTTCACACAAGCTACGCAGTGTGAAACCCTAACAAGCAAAAACTTTCATTAAATCTAGTTGTAAATCTAAAATTAATACAACATTTTTCTGCCTGGTGCCAAATGGAAGTATTGGAACAGAAGTTGATCATTTGGACCTTTGTCCATTTTACCACCACTTTTTCACAAATGTGTATTTTATTGGTTTCTGCGTTTACAAAATGTGGTAATCATCGTCAGTAGTATTTTACTTAAGGCTGCGTAAACCGTGTGAAATGGCCCGTTCTCCTTCTTGGGTCAACACAGTTAGGGATAACATGATTGGTCAATAATATCACATGGGTTCAGTTTTGCATTATTTGTCGGGAAGGTGACGTATTGTTATTTCATTGGTTAAGTTACGCATGGCCGATTATATCTGGTCACTTCGTTGAGACTCAGAGTTTGTTAATGGAAATTGAGTCTATATGCAAAATGGTGTCTTACGTAAAATTTTATTGTAAACATTTTCAACCTTTTCACAGAATTAAGCTATAGAAAAATTCAAGTTTTAAAATTTGCTTAAAACTAAATTACCGTAGACGCAAAACTTTGCGTTTTAGTTCAAATCTAACACACTATTTTCATATTTTAGCACGCTCTTTGCGTCCGCTAATTTCGAAGCCTGTTATGGTACAGTGAGAATACTAAGGTGGATGGTTATTTATTGTTTATAGTTTTAAGTCGAACAGTAATTCTGTTTTTATATGCCCACACTTTGTAGTTGTATATATATTGCAATAACCCCTGTCTGACTTTATATCATCCACATTCTTTGTTAGCACAGAGAAATCTATGCGCAGTTGTTTAACCAGAGTAAACCCAGCAGGTTGAGAATGCACCACTGTCTGCAAGTCTGAGGCATATTCATGAATAGTTCCTTTAGGAACTGTCTCTGATTGGATGATGTCCGCTGACAGTTCCTACCGCTTGCTATATAGCTGCAATATGAAAATACCGCTCATCCCCACCTCTGGTCTAAGGCTATTTTTGAATCCTTGTCGACTATTTTTCACCCTGATTCTTCTTTGTTTGCCAAAGGAATCATTTCTTGCCACAGCTGACAAACATTTATAATAATTCAACACTATTTTCAAGCAGAATTTTGCGATTAAAAACATACACAAAATACATTTGAACTGATCAACCATTACGAGACCCAAACATGCGCAGATCGCATGTTTATTTAATTGTTAAATTCTACTTGAACATAGTGTTGAAATATTATAAATTTGTGTCAGATATGACGAGAAATGATTCCTTTTGCGAAAAATAAACATTCACGGTGAAAAATAGAAGGTAAGGGTTCCAAAATAGCCTGAGAACAGAGGTGGGGAAGAGCGGTATTTTATCTTATTTTCATATTGCAGCTATATAGCAAGCGATAGGAACTGTGAACAGACATTTCTAAAGGAACTAATTCCTGAAGCAATGGCCCAAGAAATCCCTCTCTAGCCATGCTATACTTAGACTGAAAACTTGAGTTTTTGAGGGAGCGTGTCCATTCTCGTCGTCCAATCAAATCTCTCCTGAGTACAGTAAAATAAAGGGAATTTTCATGACTGCCGCTTAACGGGGGTGACCTCTTTTGAAAAAAAAAATCCCAGTGTTTGTTAGGGCTGATTTCAAGAACATTTTTACCCTGGGCTTGGATGCATCTGAAGCAAACATCGATACTCACATCGGTAAATTTAGCTGTCGCCGAAACTCGCTGTTGGAATGAAAATGCTTTGACTCAAATATCTGATAAATTCTATAAACGTGTCTCTTTGTACCAATTATTACTGCCTACCTTTAAAGATACATTATGGGAGATTATATAAAGAACTGGCAGTTCTCACTATAATACTAATAGTTAAAAACTACATAATGTAAAGGGAATTTGCTGAAATTTCAGTCAAATTGATCCATTCTGAACCAAGATTTTAATTTTAGCGATGAATTTTCGGCCTAGCATTGATCATCATTACCAAAGTCAGTACGATAAAAAACATAGTCTTGATTATCCATTTCATGATTAAATTATGAATGGAAGTCGAACAGGAAATCGGAACCTAATCCAATAAACATCACAGGCTACCGATGCCATCAAGAGTGTAAATTATGATCTAGATAAGTTAATTAATGTCTAATTAATAATTTAGATAATATTTCAGGCCTAAAGAAAGACCTGCAATAGACAGATTAGCTCTTGCATAATGTATGTTTAAGTATTTGATGATATCTATTCATTTTTGTGAAGAAAATCCATGAATAATTATTTATTTTACCAAAAAAGCACATGTCGTATTTCAATCCAATTTGGTGAAACACAATATGCAACATGACAGTCATTCTCTTTGATATGCGTTTTTCGTACAGTTGATTAAATGTATTAAAAGATGGTGAAAATATTGTTCGTCTGTTGTGTGCTCCAAGAGATGATAAAAAGATTCCACTTTCCTCCCACTGCTAAAGACCCATACGCACAAGCCAAATATTGAAATAAAATTGAACCATATGTTAGCCCCGAAATGACCTAGTTTGTGTCCGTGGACGTTAAACCCCATTTCTCTCTCTCTTTTATCACACAATTAGTTAATTGAGCATAATACCTTACGCTCATTATGACATAATGTAGCCGCAATTGTCACCAGACACTTTACGGTAACATATTTAGAGCTGGTTAATCCCAATTGATTTTGTTATGTAGTAATGTATTGGTTGTTGATCGGACTGTTGAACCAATCATAATTTGGGACAGAAATTTGCTCCGAGTACGTCAGTGCTTGAGTGGGATTAGGTCTTAATCAAATGAAACACAACAAGGAATATGGTCAGAGATGACCTCCCAGCTTGAGCTTGAAAGGTGACACTTTAGACTACAAGGTCATCACCCTCTCCCGCTGTGTATAGTATGTATTTTAAGCTATCTTTTTTTATATTGGTAATCTAAAGTCTAATCTAATAAAAGGGAGAACCAATCGTTCACATTTCTTGTTAGTGAACTATCTTTTTAAAATTGATATGGGTTTTCTATTTCATAAAATTGAAGAAATCTGTTGCTCCTTCAATAATCAGCTCCAGTGTTATGTCCTTTTTTTTTCACTAAATCTTGTTACAACTTTATAGAACTGTAATTATTATAACATCCAAATGGAACTGAGGAACATCCTTGTTAGGTAGTCAGCACCTTGTTCACTTATCATTATGTATTTCTTAAATATAGGTTTTCTATCCTATTAAATTGAAGAATTCTTTTCAAAAAAATTTTTTGTATAACTTCTATGGTTATTTGGGGGGTTGGGTGGCCCAATTTGGCAATGGTTGCATCACAAGGTCTGTCATTGAGTCAAGTGGCTAAACCCATCCTTCTCTCTCTCTGGTTATGTTCATTATGAGGAAGTATGTATTTCCATATAAACTGTGTTGTGGTTTTTTTATGTATTCCAGGATAGGTTTCTGTTGCATGGCATGAAATGTCTTGAGTGGTAAAATTTTTGAGGGAACTGGCATTGTTTTCGATTCCCCACTTTACGTGACAAAGAGAAGGGTTGGCAGTCCAACCATGCGGATTTTCTCTGGTCCCTCTGGTCTCAACCATGCAGATTTTCTCTGGTCCCTCTGGTTTCCTCCCACAGCTAAAGACCCCTGCGTGCAAGCGAATTCTTGAAATATGTTAATCTCAGAATGAAAGTTTGTGTCGAGTGGACTTAACCCCCCCTCACCCCTCTCTCTCACAATATCTGTACAGATACATGTAAAATAAATTATCATTTTTATACGCCCACATTGAAATGTGGACGTATATTGCCGTCGTCCCCGTCCGTCCGTCCATCGTTCACAAGAAACGCCAAAAATTATCATCCGATCTTTCTGAAATTTACATGCATTATTTAAATTAGTGAAACGAAGAAGTCTGTTGAATTTCAGCAATTTCCATTTATTACGTCTAGAGTTATGGCCCTTGTTTCACTTTATTGAACCTTGTGAACGCTCTAACGCCAAAAGTTATCATTCGATCTTTGAGAAATTTATATGCATTATTAAGATTACTGAAACGAAGAATTTCGGCAATTTTCGTTTATTACGTCTAGAGTTATGGCCCTTGTTTCACTTTATTGATCCTTGTGAACGCTCTCACCTTAAAAGTTATCATCTGATCTTTCTGAAAATTATATGCATTATTTAGATTGCTGAAACGAAGAAGCCTTTTGAATTTCAGCAATTCCCGTTTATTACGTCTAGAGTTATGGCCCTTGTTTCACTTTATTGATCCTTGTGAACACTCTAATGTCAAAAGTTATCATCCGATCTTTCTGAAATTTATATGCATTAATTAGGTTACTGAAACGAAGAAGCCTATTGAATTTCGGCAATTTCCGTTTATTACGTCTAGAGTTATGGCCCTTGTTTCACTTTATTGATCCTTATGAACACTCTCACGTCAAAAGTTATCATCCAATCTTTCTGAAATTTATATGCATTATTTAGATTCCTGAAATGAAGAAGCCTATTGAATTTGAGCAATTCCCGTTTATTAAGTCTAGAGTTATGGCCCTTGTTTCACTTTATTGATCCTTGTGAACGCTCTCACGTCAAAAGTTATCATCCGATCTTTCTGAAATTTATATGCATTATTTAGATTGCTGAAATGAAGAAGCCTATTGAATTTCAGCAATTCCCATTTATTACGTCTAGAGTTATGGCCCTTGTTTCACTTTATTGATCCTTGTGAATGCTCTCACGTCAAAAGTTATCATCGGATCTTTCTGAAATTTATATGCATTATTTAGGTTACTGAAACGAAGAAGCCTATTGAATTTCACCAATTTCCGTTTATTACGTCTAGAGTTTTGGCCCTTGTTTCACTTTATTGATCCTTGTGAACGCTCCAACGCCAAAAGTTATCATTCGATCTTTGTGAAATTTATATGCATTATTTAGATTAGTGAAACGGAGAAGCCTATTGAATTTCAGCAATTTCTGTTTGGAGGCAGACCACCATTAAATTTCATCATCTCGGTACCCACGAATTGTAGTTCGTCTATTTATAGCAATTCTCTCTCTCTCTCTCTTTTCTCCCCTTTTGCATGCCCATTTGTGTTGATTTTTTGGTCTAGAATGGATGAAGAGGGTTTGAATTAACATTTTCTGCCAGGTTTTGTTAAATATTCATGATTTTGAGGCGGAAATTTACGTCTAGAGTTATGGCCCTTGTTTCACTTTATTGATCCTTGTGAACGCTTTAACGCAAAAAGTTATCACCCGATCTTTGAGAAATTTATATGCATGATTTAAATTAGTAAAACGAAAAAGCCTATTGAATTTCAACAATTACAATAATTACTTCTAGAGTTATGGCCCTTGTTTCACTTTATTGATCCTTGTGAACGCTTTAACGCAAAAAGTTATCACCCGATCTTTGAGAAATTTATATGCATGATTTAAATTAGTAAAAACGAAAAAGCCTATTGAATTTCAACAATTACAATAATTACTTCTAGAGTTATTGCTCTTGTTTCACTTTGTTAAACCTTGTTTATGCTCGATTGATAATAGTTATCATCCGATATGTATGAAATTTATATGCATCATTTAAATTTTTGAAACAGGTCTATTGAATTTCAGCAATTTCCGTCAATAATTTCTAGAGTTATGGCGATTGTGAATGTTTGAATGACAAATGTGATCTGTATGAAATTTACATGCATTATTTAATTTAATAAAACGAAAAAGCCTGTCAAATTTCAATCATTTCTGTAGATTACTTCCAGAGTTAAGACTCTTGCTTCAGTTTGTAGAACCTTGTAAACCCTCAAACGACAAAATTTATAATCTGATCTGTATGGAACTGTCTTGTAAAGGCTCCCAATTACCTACAAAGGAATAAATATGCGACAACCCTTGACGACCGCTCGGACGATTTAGCTGCTGTGGGCGTATGTTTTGTTGTCTGGCAACCTATCTTCAATTCTAAATGTATACACAGTGCACAAATAACTGACTCTTTTATTAATACCACTCACATTAATTAAATGCATGACTTCATATTTTTCAAGGTGGATCTAAATCTGATTGGCATACAATATTGCCTTTAGCATCTACTACACCTGCATCATGTAAGATATGATTGTTAATTATGTAACATATACGGTAATAGCTCAATAAAATTTGGTTTCTTTGTGTCTAACTTGTAAGTGTATTTTAATAGCATGGTAGAAATAATATCTTGTAGGCATGCTTCACTATCAGATGGTAACTATCATTATAATAACCCATATAGACATTTTGAACTATGTATATTATGTTGATAGGTGCATGGTCTTATTGTCCCCCGCCTTTCGAAGAAAGCAGGGGACTATTAAAATGGGTTCGTCCGTCTGTCTGTCTGTCCGTCTGTCTGTCCGTCACACTTTTTGGGACACAATAACTCTCTTCCTAATTGTGCTAGAATGTTCAAACTTGGTGTATGTGTTTATTAGGTCAATGCCTTGATGGAGTTCGAAGATGAGCATTTTCCGCTTAGGGTAAGCAGAGATAAGCAATTTGATTGGTTGATGCTTTGGGACACGATAACTCTCTTCCTAATTGGGCTAGAATGTTCAAACTTGGTGTATGTGTTGATTAGGTCAATGCCTTGATGGAGTTCGAAGATGAGCATTTTCCGCTTAGGGTAAGCAGAGATAAGCAATTTGATTGGTTGATGCTTTGGGACACGATAACTTTTAATTGAGCTAGAATGTTCAAACTTGGTGTATGTGTTTATTAGGTCAATGCCTTGATGGAGTTCGAAGATGAGCATTTTCCGCTTAGGGTAAGCAGAGATAAGCAATTTGATTGGTTGATACTTTGGGGCACGATAACTCTCTTCCTAATTGAGCTAGAATGTTCAAACTTGGTGTATGTGTTGATTAGGTCAATGCCTTGATGGAGTTCGAAGATGAGCATTTTCCGCTTAGGGTAAGCAGAGATAAGCAATTTGATTGGTTGATGCTTTGGGACACGATAACTTTAGTTCTAATTAAGTGAGATTGATGAAACTTGGTGTATAGTTTCATTACAGTAATACCTTGACTAAGTTTGATAATGAGCATTTTCTGCTCAGGGTAAGCAGAGCGATACGCAATTTGATTGGTCGAGACTTTGGAAAACAATAACTCTCCTACTTTGATTGTCCCCCGCCTTTCGAAGAAAGCAGGGAACTATTAAAATGGGTTCGTCCATCTGTCTGTTTGTCTGTCTGTCCGTTCCGCTTATGGTAAGCAGAGATAAACAATTTGATTGGTTGATCTTCGAATTGAGTAAATGTTCATGCTTATTGTCCCCCGCCTTTCGAAGAAAGCAGGGAACTATTAAAATGGGTTCGTCCGTCTGTCTGTTTGTCTATCCGTTCCGCTTAGGGTAAGCAGAGATAAACAATTTGATTGGTTGATGCTTTGGGACACTATAACTTTAGTTCTAATTAAGTAGATAAACAATTTGATTGGTTGATGCTTTGGGACACTATAACTTTAGTTCTAATTAAGTGAGAGTGATGAAACTTGGTGTATAGTTTCATTACAGTAATACCTTGACTAAGATCGATAATGAGCATTTTCTGCTCAGATTAAGCAGAGCGATAAGCAATTTGATTTGCTGAGACTTTGGAACACAATAACTCTCCTTCGAATTGAGTTAAAATGTTCAAAATTGGTGTGTATGCTTATTGTCCCCCGCCTTTCGAAGAAAGCAGGGGACTATTAAAATGGGTTCGTCCGTCGTCTGTTTGTCTGTCTGTCCGTCACACTCCTTCGAATTGAGTTAAAATGTTCAAAATTGGTGTGTATGCTTATTGTCCCCCGCCTTTCGAAGAAAGCAGGGGACTATTAAAATGGGTTCGTCCGTCTGTCTGTTTGTCTGTCTGTCCGTCACACTTTTTGGGACACAATAACTCTCCTCCCAATTGAGGTAGAAGGTTCAAACTTGGTGTAGGCCTTTATTAGGTCAATGCCTAGATGGAGTTCGAAGATGAACCTTTTCTGCGCAGGCTAAGCCGACATAAGTCATTTGATTGGTTGATGCTTTGGGACACGATAACTTTAGTTCTAATTAAGTGAGAGTGATCAAACTTGGTTTATAGTTTCATTACATGAATACCTCGATAATGAGCATTTTCTGCATAGGCCGAGATAAGCTATTTGATTGGTTGATGCTTTGGGGCACGATAACTTTAGTTCTAATTAGATGAACCTTTTCTGCGCAGGCTAAGCCGACATAAGTCATTTGATTAAAGATATATACTGTTTGATTGTTCAATACTTTGTAAAAGATAATTTGTGATAAATTTATATGTGTCCTCTAATTATTTTCCTATTTCGGCGGGGGACATCAGCCTCACTGTTGGCTTGTTTAGAAACATATGTGACTGTATTGCAATGGCTTGATTTGTGATGAAAGGGTGAAGGATTCATTTTTTAAATGTGACATAGAAATCATGATTTGTATCTGCTCAAACAATAGGCTTTTCCAACTTTTGTTTTGTAACTTGAATGAAATGTGTTACACAACAGCTAACAGAATATGAATTAAAATTCTTTTAAACACAATCTGATCTCACATAAATTCAAGGATATGAATGAAAGTCAAAATGATCTTTAAACTTAGTATGTTCATTGAAATGTGGTCGTATATTGACATATTTATTGTGGTTGCCCCATTCCAGCATCCACAATTGCTTGTGGATGCTCTATGGGCTAAAGTTAATATCCAATTGACTTTAAATTTATACACAGTGTTTAAGGTCATGAGACAAAGAAGCCTATTGATTTTCAGCAATTTCCGATAATTACTGCCCTAGTTATGGCCCTGGATTACTTTGAAAAATCTTGTGGACACTCCAGAGGCTAAAGTTAATATCTGATTGACTTTAAATTTATACACAGTATTTAAGAGCATGAGACAAAGAATCCTATAGATTTTCCACTATTTCTGATATTTATGGCCCTTGACCTCTTTATAAAATCTTGTAGAAGCTCTCTTGAGGCTAAAGTTGATATCCGATTTACTTTAATTTTATACACAATATTTCTCTTTCTTTCTCTAAAATAGCCATAAAACTTTGATCTTTGTCTAAATTAAGATTACTGATTTTATTGGATTTTATAATCTGTGTTGATGATTTTACATTCATTCAACATTGATATAGCCATTGTCGAGATATAATTGATTATATGTCAACACAGGAAGCCAAAGATCAAACTAAAATTAAGAAACAAATGCTTGATCAGTTTTACCCATCACATCAAAATATTATATCACATCAACCCAGTTCTAATGAGTGACTACATAGGTTACTAATGTTGGGTAATATTTAGGTTTTATGTAACATAAATAACAAGTTGGTTATATTAACCAGTATTTTCAATACCCTAACAAACTTTTATTTGATAATAAAACTAATCAGGCAGGAGCCTGTCAGGCCCCTCTAAATCTAATATGACCACCAGCTGCACCAATTCTGGCTCTAAAATCCCACAGAGCAAGGCTTTAAAAAAGATCCTATATAAACTAACTTGGCATTTTGAATTTGCCTAGAAATAATCCAGCGGCACCCACATGAGTAAACTGGCAAGGTATATAGGCTAGCGGTTTAATTTAAGTCAATATTTTTTCCGATACCCCTACGTACGGTAGAATAAAGGTTATTTGGTATTGATCTTTTAGAGGCATTTAGTAACTGGATAGAGCAATAAACTATAACACATACTTATGGAAGAACAATTACTGATTTATTTGGGCGACGTTTCGAAGAGTATTCTCTCAACGTTTTCAAGCAAGTGAAACGTTGCTTGAAAACGTTGAGAGAATACTCTTCAAAACGTCGCCCAAATAAATCAGTAATTGTTCTTCCATAAGTATGTGTTATAGTTTATTGTTATTTGGTATGGTTGGAAAGGTAATTTGATTGACATTATGAAATAGGTTCTTGGACAATTTTCAAAATGGGATATAACACTTATTCTCGTGGTTTCTATGGCAACTGTAAAAAATCATGAATATCAACTGTATACGTAAAATCCAACTATTTAAAGATTAGAAAGTGTGAGATAAGCTATACAGTAAACCTCTCTTTCGTGTTAGCTTTAGTGAGAAATGAGAAATCCAAAATGGCCGCCATGACGTCACGTGACTACATGATTATGCAAATTTCCAAAATTCTATTTTTTCCTCTTAGTCTTAGCCCGACATCATGTCCATCCCAACACACAAAAAGAATTTTCATAAAAGCTTCCATAAGTACTGTTTGGCATTTAGTTCCAAACCCACTTTTTTCCTAGCTCAATATATGTGATATATTTTCAAACAACTTAAACCAGTCAGTCTTCATATGGAAATGGAAACTGGTGTCCCAAGCTGTATTATGCGGTGTCTGGATAAAACCAGGCTTTAATTTTATAAAAATTATGTGTAGGTGAAATTTACCTTTCGTTATCCAGTACAGCACATGGGTCATTCATTGTATAGACCTCTAAAGGAAAGGGAATCAATTATCAGGTCACCCAACAAAAAAATTGACCCAAAATCTTAAAAGGGTTACGTGTCCGGGTAAGCAGTTTTGACGTTCACGCCCAAACGACTTAATATTTTGAGCTTAAACTTTGAGTCAAGGTAAATACACCATTTCTCTATATTTTGGCGCTTAAATATCATACGTACTCAGACTTTTATTTTTGAGACTCTGTTCAATTTGGGATAGTCCCTTTAGACCATAGTGACGATTGAGATAGAATTTTGTGAAAATCAAGGGGAAACTGCCTGACAAAATGGCCACTCCACATACGCAAAGTAAAAGTGTGTAATACCAAGGTTGTAGACATGCTAGAGGTAACAATTTTCATCAGATTTTGATGAAACTTGAAATATATGTTTATTATATCCCAAAGATATTGGTTCCTTTCGATATTCACACATATCGGACTGTGGCTTCCTGGATTAGTCCAGATCATTGAGCATTAAAATCTACATTCATTTAAATTATAAACTACAAGTAAAATGTAGGCCAACATACATGACTTTGGCAAGACAATATAACCAGACACATAACGTTACATAAATATCAGTTGTTGTTATATATTGTAGTGACCTTCAACAAGACTTGTAGTGATGCCGATGGTCAACAGTGTGCAGAGACGGAAGCTTGTAATGAGCAGATTAACATCTGCGTGTGCTATGATGATTTTGTCTATGATAAGACAGTTAAAGCTTGCGTTACAAAAAGCCGTCTAAACCAAGTCTGTGATTTTAATCAGAAATGTGGTCCAAGTGAAGTTTGTAAGGAAGTTAAAGGCCAGAATTCTGTTGGACGTTGTGCATGCAAGCAAGGCTTCCACTATAGTATACCTAGACAAATTTGTGATGCTGCAAATCAGGATACATGTAAGTACCACTTTCCAAATCCAAGTGTTAAAATAGTGCCGGATACATGTATTACTATTAAAATATCTAAAAAAAAACGTTTCTGTTCTGCCCAGCTTGATATCTTTGCATATTGTACAGGAGGACTGGACATCATGGATCAGTAGTCTTGGCTGTAAATTGATGGCATTTGTTAAACCAAATAACAAATTTTCACAGCTTCTAATTTGAAAAGAAATTTTACGATCTCAAGAATTTCCATCAATACCCACCTAGAAATAATTTTCAGATGGATGTTTTCCAGTGCCAGGTTCATAAAAACACATAAAAAGATCATGAAGATCAAGATATTATTTTCCGGATATATTTTATAAATATTATTTATTAAATTATTATTTGACTCAATATAGTTACAGTGATGCCTGGTACAACTGCCCCAGATGCAAATGCCACTAAAAAACAACCTCTCCATCAAACTACAAAGGCCTATACTAATAGTGAGTACAGATTTGTTAAAGATGCATTATGTAAGAGCTAGATCTGCTTATTGCAGGTCTTTTTTCTGGATTCAAATGTTATATAAATTATTATTCAGACATTTATTCAAATGACAAGCCCATAATCAAGTCTCTAGGCTATCGGATGGCTACGATATTTAGAACACCCCTGTCATTTAATAATTTAAGCGGAAAGGCTACCCAAAATTTTTTGTTCTTAAATTGTAAAGCTATTGAATTGAAAATGGTACAAGTAGTTAGGAAATGTAATAAAAAAGAGAAAAGTAACTTTTAAAAAAAGTTGTTGCCAGGGTAACCCATTTTTGGATTAAAAATTATGAAAAGTGTAGGTACACTATATCTCTGTAACTAATAAAGATATTTTCACCAAATTTGCAGGATATATAAACAAATATCTACCCCTGAATCAGACAGAAAGCGATTTGAATTATTAATATTTCAAAAGTTATAAAAATATTTCTCAAAAGACAAATATTGTGGTGAAGCAAATGTTTTAAACACTATTTTCCAAGAAACTATGAAAATTATAGAGAAAAACTCTTTGTCTGATTTTAGGGTTATCATGAAAGAATAAGCAGTCCGAAAAAGAGAAATTTATCTTTGTTAGTGCCAGAAATATGGTGTACCAACATTTTTCATACTTTTTCCAAAAATAATGTGTTACCCTAGCAACAATTTTTTTTTTATTTTTTGTTAATGTTAGTTTTCCCTTGTTTATTACATTTCCTAACTACTTGTGCCATTTTCAATTCAATAGCTTTAGAATTTAAGAACACATTTTTCGGGTAGCCTCACCCCTTAAAATTAAAATGAATAATCAATACTTTGTTGATCGAATCAAGGGTACTTGACAACCAAAAATCAAGGGTACTTGACAACCAAAGCTAAGTTCAAACAGCGATTACTTAGCTCAGAATATAGTAATTCAAATGAAATTTCCATATTCATTTTTATACGCCCACATGGAAATGTGGACGTATATTGCCATCGCCCCTGTCCGCTCTAACGCCAAAAGTTATCATCCAGTTGTTTTAAAACTGATATATGTTTACATTAGTGAGATGAAGAAGCCTATTTAATTTCAATAATTTCCGTTTATTATGTCTAGAGTTATGGCCCTTATTTCACTTTGTTAAACCTTGTGAACGCTCTAATGCCAAAAGTTAACATCCGATCTTTGTCAAATTTATATGCAATATTTAAATTAGGGAAAAGAAGAAGCCTATTGAATTTCAGCAATTTCTGCAGTTGCCTGGCAACCTATCTTTTTTTTTTATTATATTTCATTTTTTAATGTCCATCTCTTTATCTAAATTTTACATAATGCATCTTTAATTATTTCAAATATAAATGATTTCATAAATTTATCATTAATAAAAAATATATTACCAATACTAATTACTATATTTTATTCTTTGCCTTTCGACTACTAACAAACCTTCCTCATCTATGACTCATAGCTGAACATATTGTTAAAACTAAAACTAAACTACTCGGTAGTCGGTATGTGAACTTAAGAAAAGTTTTTTCAATCTTGACTTGCAGTCCTCAAAATTTTCCGTTTAATACAGCACCAAATATCAGAAAATGCTGTTGCTAAAATATGGCATAATCACAGGCACTTGAAGGGATTAAAATAAAATTTGTTACAACTGTTTGACTATATATTACAGTATTAAGAAGGTGCATCACCCGACATTTTGTTTTGACTTGTTGACGACATTTCGTCTGCTATCATCTCACAATACTTACTATTTCTAGCGCTTCCCGTCGTTTATATAGCCATGGAGACTTGATTGAAGTGTGCAATGTCAGTGGTTTTTGTATGGACAGGGGCGCTTATGGCCTACTCTTGGTGCACGCCATTGGGTTTTCGTCCCATTAATAGTGTTCCTTGTCAGGCACTGACAGGTGGAAAGCACGCCGGAAAACCCGAGGAACTGTCTCTTCAAACTCCAGGAACGAACCCGAGACCTCCTGGTTACCGAGCCACCGCTGCTCCCAATGATTTGGAAGCCTGACCCGATATAGATTACTTCAATGATATCAAAAATACTCAACTTTTGTGTATAAAACATTTCATAATTTTGAAGGGAAGAGATAAGCTAAACTAAGCATGACCGATTTATATTTATGTATTCACTTTCATGCATGACGTAATGAGTTCTCGCTGTATATTATTCTTTTAGAAAACAAATAGGTCAAAACAATGCACAATAAAATAGCCTATTTATTTAATTGTACGTAAAATATTTTATTATTTTTGACAGAAAAATATCGTCATGTCTGTCGGGTTGTGGAAAGGGCGCGTTTACATGTTCCCAATAAGCCACCATAGAATTGTAAACAGTACTGTCTATCAAAATGAGCTTTAGAATTATGGGGACTCTACCGCGAAACATTTGTAAAATGTCAAAATGTTAACAGAGCTAAACTGACTACCATACAATAAATTAAGAGTAATAATGGAAATAGAACAAAATACAAATTTTAACTGCAATATTTAAAAAATAAGTCATATAAATTAGAATTTTTACATGTGTAAATAGCCAATTTAACATGTGTTAGTAAGAAGTTACATGCATAGAAGTAAGCATATTAGCATACGCATTACTACCTTAGGAATTAGAATTATGAGGGAAATTCCGCTCCATAGGGCCATACATTGAAATTAATAAAAGACTGTGCAAACAATACCTCCAACAAGTTATCAATACTCAAATTTCTTGTTTTTTTTAAATAAAAACAGTTAAACTATTTGTTGGTTTTTAATTTTCAGCTACTGCTGTAATTGCTGGATGTGTGTCGGCTGTAATCATACTTACTGTTATTGTCATTGTGGTCTTTATGATGATTCGTAAAAAAAGAAGTCAGTATGATCGTCAGATTTTATTGGAAAATGATGATGAGCCATTGGCCATTTAATTTTAGATTATGTACATTCTTTAAATTTTATTTTATTATTTTTGTCTTTTGTAACCAAGCCTTATTTTATATACTGAGATGCAATGAAAACGCACCACTGATGTGAATAGAAGTGCTGGCGAGACATAATGTGGTTGGTTGTATATTGCCGTCGCCCCTCTGCTTCCAGCATTTACAAGCAATTGTGCACACTCTAGACTTTAAATTTATACACAGTGTTTACAGTCATGAGATGAAGAAGTCTCTTGATTTCAACAATTTTTGATAATTCCAGCCAGAGTTATGGCCCTTGATCACTTTGAAAACTCTTGTGGACACTCTAGAGGCTAAAGTTAATATTTATTTATTTTCATCGATTTTCAATAATTAATGAAAGAGATTTGGCCCTTGATCACTTGAAAAAATCTTGTGGACGCTCTCGATGCTAAAGTTAATATCTGATTGACGTTAAATTTATACACAGTGTTAAAGCCATTTGACAAAGAATCCTAATGATTTTCAACGATTTCTGATACTGTCAGAGTTATGGCCCTTGATCATTTGAAAAATCTTGTGGACATTCGAGATGCTAATGTTAATATCCGATTGACTATGAATTTATACACAGTGTTATGATTATGAGACAAAGAAATCTATTGATTTTCAACAATTTCCAATAATTACTGTCAGAGTTGTGGCCCTTGATCAATTGAGAAATTTTGTGGATGTGCTACTCTAGAGGCTAAAGTTAATATAAGGTTATACACAGTGTTTAAGGTCAGAGACAAAGAATCGAAACAAATTCTAATGATTCTGATAAGTACTTGTAATCAGATTTTAGTGTGTTTTAAATGTTTTCATTACTGACAAAAGAAAAAATATGCAACAACCCTTGTTGACGGTCTGGACGACTTTAGACTGGACATTTACCGACACAGTAACAGCAGTATGGAAGCTGGCAGTGTGCGATTAGAACTGAAAGATCTTTCTAGATACTGTGCCAGTCTTGTCAGTGAGGTGTCACATGCAGCTGTCTAGGCTTTGGCCGAGCTCTAGTGGACTTTATTTGCTGGTAACAATTGTAAAGTCTCGGGATGGTAGTGTGATGACATCTAAACCTGTCAATAACTCTGGTATTCATGCCCTCGTGAATTAATGCAATGACGCTTCTCCAACTCTCCATAGTACTGTAGGTGTTGTAATTATCCCTTGTTTTTGAAAAAGATACAATTTATAGCCCATGTCTGTATTATAAAGTCCTGATCATCAACATTCCCATTTTTTTTGTGAGAGAATTGACCTGTAGTGCGTTTATGTGATCCTAAAACATCATTCTCACATGTTATCGTCAGGATCTGATGATGTTATACTAGTTAAAGACAGAATTGCAAGATTTGCAATCATTCATTTATAAAAGTGCTGTTTGTCATTGCTTTTTCATTTCATCTCAGTATATTTTCATAAAATGATAAAAGCATAATTTTTTTTATTTATAATTGTATACCTGTTTGCCATTTAACTATATTAATTTCATTTGCTAAATAAATCTTCTTGTAAGATTATAAAACATCATTTCTAGATACATAGGTGAGGTTTTTACAGTGGCTTAGGTATTTAAATACCTAAATATCAGATATCATGAATACATGTTCCTAGCCAGTCCAGTACAATTTGCATGTTTTACAAATCAAAATAATAAGCTTCTGTGATTATACTTTTGACTGGCTCAACAAGATATTGCCTTTGGCAAGGCTTTGGGAGAGTGCAAGCTGTTTTCCCATATTTTGTATAGGTTGACTTTTTCAATGGAATATAAAATACGAAAAAGAATGTTTATTGTATTATAAGATATTAAGCTTGAATAAAAGCACAGTTTTTGATATCTAATTCTAAATGATATATTTTAAAACTGGTATATAATTTGATAATGGTAAAGAGCTTGTGTACAAGCTTTAACTGTATTCAGTGATTTGTAAGATTGTTCATTTATTTTTACCTGTTTTATCATAATAATAAACGTCCATATAATTTACCAGGAATCTGTACATAAAATGTAAATATCCTACAGCTGGTATTGTGCACATAATGTCTTTTCCATCTATTTTTATAATTTCTCTTTATATACATGTTATTTTTTTTTTTTTAAATTCCATTGTAATGTATTTATCGTTACAGATTTAAGAATATATTGTGAGATTGAAAAAGATGTTGCCTAAAAATATTCATATAAAATTGGTATTGTCTTTTCTTCGCTATCTGTTAAAGATTTGAAAATTTGGTGTATGCAATGTTTATTGTCATTATTGTTTTAATTGATTGTGAATTGTAGCTGAAGAATATATTACATATTCCTAAAGCAATAGTTAACAACTAGTTAGAGATTGCTACACTGAACTAAAGAAGGTGACATTCATGGGAACCATATCCAGGATTTGTTAAAACTTGATACAATCACTTGATTTGAATTCAAAATTTCTCTGCTAAAACAAATGACATGATAGCCCCAAAAGCTTAATCCATTTACTAAAAACTGGTTATCAAGATCAATAACTTTATCAATAAGACTTTTGAGGTAACCACAATACAACCTCTAAGCTAAGTTCCGCCTGCTATTGTAATTACACGATTCATTTATTGCTTTAGGAACATGTATATGCTTTGCTCTTCTTTTTACTTTGTTCTTGTATATTGAAACAGTGGCATCTCTTTTATTATATTCTTGTGTGAACTAACAGTTCTTTACTTTATTAACATTGTTTTACATTTTGTTTTGATCAGTATGATTACTTTTAAATGCAACTTCATAATATGGTAAAAACTTAAAGATGTTATGTAAAACTTGGGTGAACATAAATTAATTTTTATTGTAATATGTTTTTATCACATAACTTTTTATTATTAGCATATATTTATATAGTTTGCTTTGTTTATTCTTTATTATATTCATTTTTTTTTTTTTTGCTGGGAGAGATGACCTGGTTATACAAGAAATATTATTACTACTGTAAAATATAAAGAACAAATTTTTTTTTGTGACTTTCAGTTAATTGGAAAAAACAATAATGGTTGTGATATAGATTATCACATGATTTTCTACATTAATATTATGGATTTATAGATCTTTTTTATACTTATTAATATTTGGAGTTCATAATGATCTAACTTGTGAGAAAATTGTAAGCTTGAAGTGTCTTATTTGAATCGTTACATTATATGATGTCTATTGTATTAATTGAAGTTGAATTTGGGTAAGTTGTACATCATATCAGCTAATTCAGTCAACATACAAGAGAACAAAAAGAAAGTACCAATATGAAGCTATTCATTCTTAATATCAATGGCCAACATTATTCCCTGCCCCCCCCCCCCCCCCCCCCCCCCCCCCCCGGACATTGTCATTATCATTAATTGATATATAAGTCAAGATAGGCATACAAATTTGGCATTTCAAGTTTTCAAAAGTTATGTTGAATGTTCATGAATATCATAAGAAGGTTGTTAAAATTGTACATCATTTTATTGCCTCTATGTTTGTTGTAAGCTTAATACATATATTATTGTTTTACTTTGTTATTCTTATTTATCAGGAAAAATAGAGGGGGAACGGCAACACCCGGCAGAGAGGTTAGACATAAATAAAAATATAAAAATCCCAACTCAACCGTAGTACAAATTTTTTAAAATAGAAATAAGAAGTGGTTTAAACCAGCGGTTGCCAAGCAAGATACGCCCACATTTTGCAAGAGATGGATAGGGAACAAGTTAAAAACAAAAGCGATTTTTTGTTCGATCAGGGGCCATAATCCAAACAGTTAGGATCAAACATGTGCAAATATTGAAAGGCTATTTTGCCAGGCAGTTTCCTTTCGATTTTCCCGAAATTCGAATTCAACCTTCATTATGGTGATTTATTTTAAAAAAAATTAATTAAAATCATAAAAAATTGTGACCTCTAGAGAATCCACAAGCTAAAAAAACATGATTTTTGTTCAATCAGGGGACATAATCCAGGAAGTTACGGTCAGATATGTAATAGCGAAAGGAACCAAAATCTTTGGGACATAAACATATTTTAAGTTTCATCAAAATCCGATATCAATTGTGTCTTCTAGAAAGTCCACAACCTTGGTATGACATACTATTACACTATTTGCAAACAATGATAAATTTAAACGTTTTTTAAAATCGGATAAAAATTGTGACCTCTAGAGGGTCCAAAAGCTAAAAACATGATTTTTCGTATAATCAGGGGCCATGGCATAATCCAGGGCCCCGATTCCTAGAAAATTCTTATGCACATTCTTGTGCTTAGGTTTTTTTTAGTAGACTTTTCATTTAAGTAAACTTATCTTATTTTGTGTTCCTGGAAATTTCTTAAGAACATTCTTGTGCTTAGATTGTAGACTTCACAGAAACCAATTTATTTGTGTTAGTAAACAACACAAACACGGGCTACTTTAAGATCAGGCGCTCTCAGAATTATTCCACCTGTTTGCATTTGCTTGCATTTTTTTTTAGAGGACATGTCAAATGCATCTGAATCAACGATTTGCTGGGAAGTTAAATGCATTGATCTATTTATAACTCTATGCAGCCGACCAATTTATGCACACTGATCAGCAGTGAATATTCGCTAGCTCGCTACAATCACTGATAAGGATGACATCAATGAGACTTAATGAACCACAAATATTAACTGTTTTTCTCCGACTAATTAAATTCTAAAACATTTTTTTTTTATGTATTAGAAAAATAAATAAAGACGTTTGACGTATTTGTACTATAGGTAAAAATTACTTCCTATTTAGTTTAAATGGGTATTAAAATGAGTAAAAGACAGAAATCTGCCCGAACCAGTCACGTCTTATGTAAACAATGATTGACGCTGCATGATGAGACGTCACATGTTGAAGGGAGTCATATTTTACCAAGATATTGGAAGACTTTTGTAATCCTCTGTGAAACAGATTGCAATTTTATGACATAATTCGCATACCCAAATTGTTTTTATGACGTTAGAGAGCATCGTAGTCTCAATTTATCAGTCACATAAAAATGGTCTTGGGAATTTTCTAGATACAGTATTTTATAAAGTTTCTTACGAAATTAAAAGTGAAGCATGAATTTTCTAGGAACCGGGCCCAGGAAGTTACGCTCCTATATGCACAAATATCAAAAGGAACCAAGATCTTTGGAATATAAACCAACATTTCAAGTTTCATCAAAATCAGATGAAAATTGTGACCTCTTAGAGTGTCCACAAGCTAAAAACGTGATTGTTCCTACAATCAGGGGTCATAATCCATGAACTTATGGTCTGATACATGTCAATATCGAAAGGAACCAAGATATTTCAAGTTTCGTCAAAATCGGATAAAAATTATGACCTGTAGAGTGTCCACAAACAAATTGTGGACATTTAAAACTATGGGGGTTATTTTAGTTCTAAAAAAGGTGTTCTGTTTAATGTAGAAATTGATTAAAAATGGTGCCCATACGAAACACTTACCCAAAAATGGTAATTGTCCTGACCTAACAGCTGAAGCATCTATACTTTCTATATAAGGGAGAGCAGGTCAAATTTCCCCTCAGACATCATAGAGCGGTCCGAGAGGGGAACATCATAGCCTCCTTGGCTTAGAGGCTATGGTGAAAACATTCACAGACCGTAGAGGAAATATCATTTGGAGTTCCCAGGGGAACATCATAGACTCCTCAGCTTAGAGGCTAGGGTGAAGACATCACTTGGAAATCCTAGGAAAGACAGCATAGGGGCTTCCTAGAGAGATATACCGTTAGCTGCCCCGGCTTATAGGCCGGGCGAGAACATCATGTAGAACTATCATCAAGTGTGTGGCTCTAACAACATTTCAGCCGTTAGGTCTGAGATATAAAGGATATTAAACTCAGACCGTAGATATTTTAATAACTCCTAGTGTACTATCCTAGATGTTGTAGTTTCCTACACTATAAATTACACCGTATAAATTTGAAAATGCAGGGACGTCACCACTATTGTTTATATACAGGAGACACAGGATTAATTAACTGTATCATTTGAAAAAGGGTCATATCACCCGGACCACTATGAAGAATAAACCACTTCTTATTTCTACTTAAAATCATTTTGTACTACGGTTGAGCAGGGATTTTTATTCTTATTTATCTGTCACACTAAATAGGAAATGTTTGTTATCCAGATATACTTCAAACACCTTTATTTATATTTCTATCTGAAATAAGTGACCTGTACTTCTAAAAAATGGTGTCAGTTGACAATTTAACTAATCCAGTGGTTGCCAGGCAAGATACGCCCACATTTTGCAAGAGAGGGATAGAGAACAAACTAAAAACAAAACCAATTTTTCGTACAATTAGGGGCCATAGTCCAGAAAGTTATGGTCTGAAATGTGCAAATATCAAAAGAGACAGATCTTTGGGATATAGTAAAGATATATTTTACGTTTCATCAAAATCAGATATAAATTGTGACCTCTAGAGGGTCCACAACCTTTGTATTACATACTTTTACACAATTTGCGTACAAAGAGGCCATTTTGTCGGGCAATTTCATTTCGATTTTCCCAATATTCGTATTCAACCTTCATTATGGTGGAATGGTGATATATTTAAATCGTTTTTAAAATCGGATAAAAATTGTGACCTAGAGAATCCAGAAGCTAAAAATGAGATTTTTCTAACAATCACAGGCCATAATCCAAAAGTTACTTCAGATATGCGCGATTACTAAAAGGAACCAAGATCTCTGTGATATAAACATAAATTTAAATTTTCATCAAAATCGGATCAAAATTGTGACCTCTAGAAGTCCACAACCTCATATACCATATTTTTACGCTGTTTGCTTATGAGGGCGGCCATTTTGTCCGGCAGTTTTGGTCCGATTTTCAAAAAATTTGAACTCAACCATCATTAGTGTGTGACGGTGATATAGTCACACGTTTTTTAAAAACGGATAAAAATTGTGACCTCTACAGGGACCACAAGCTAAAAACATGATTTTTCGTACAATCAATGGCCATAATTCAGGAAGTTACGATTGAATATGCTCGAATATCGAAAGGAGCCAATATCTTTGAGTTTCATCAAAATCAAATCAAAATTGTGACCTCTAGAGCGTTCACAACCTTGATATACCAGATGTTTACACTATTTGTGTACGAGGGGCAGCCATTTTGTCCGGCAGTTTTAGTCCGATTTGCATGAAATTCAAACTCAACCAACATTACGGTGATATATTCAAACAGTTGTTTAAGTCGGATAATAATTAGGATTTTTTGTACAATCAGGGGCCATAATCCTGGAAGTTAAGATCCGATATGCACGAATATCGAAAGGAACAACGATCTTCTGGTTATAAACATGCATTTCAAGTTTCATCAAAATCAGGTGAAAATTGTGACCTAGTGTCTACAAGCTAAAAAACGTGATTTTTCGTACAATCAGGGGTCATAATCCATGAAGTTATGGTCAGATACATGCCAATATAGAAAGGAACCGATATTTCAAATTTTGTGAAAATCGGATAAAAATTGTGACCTGTAGAGTGTCCACAAATAAATTGTGGACGGACGGACGTCCAAACGGATAGGGGCAATGGCATATTACGTCCACATGAAAATGTGGGCGTATAAAAAACAAGTCAATATAGCCCCAAAGCAAATCACTATGTTGTTCTCAAGAATACAAATACCGGTAGGCCTATATTGAGTAGGAGGGACATTCATCCCTGTACTGTAGGATGTCACAGTTTCTGTAGATTGTCATGTCATCATTGAAAATATAATAATTACATTGTTTTTATTATAAAAAATGAAATAAAAATGACTTTTCTATGTACAAATGACTTCTCATCAATTTCATTGAAATCCATACAACCTGTCTTAAAATATGTTATTTACAATTAAAATAAAGGGTTTTAATTTTAAATCTATATGGATATATCTATAAATCATAGATATGAGATGAGAAATACTGAATTTCTGAATACAAATGTAAAATAGAGTTAAAATGCTAAAAGGAATATCATATCACTCAGATATTTAGACACATTACTTTTGTAACTCCGTTCAGCATTAAGAATTGATAACTTCTCAATTTTGTTGCAGTATGATTAGTATAAACATTGATGCAATTAATATTTAATGTTAGAAATACTCTAATCAATCCATATTCTGTACATTATAACAAACAGCATACTAGTACTGTGATAAGAATGCTAAGTTACATGTAGGCCTACTTGATTCCAGCAATCATACACCCCACCTTTTTATGATCCATGCACATCACATAACCACTCCAAATGGCTGATTCATGTGCATCACATGATCACTCAAAATAGGTGAAACCATATTCGACTGTCTGTAGCAACGATTATCAAATATGGACTGTACGAGATCTGTGGGAATGTTTCACTGAGTTGAAACCACTTCACAATTATTGCCCAGTCAAATTTATTTTTAATTAACTATCTCTATAAAATAGTTATTGTAAATAGAATTTTATAAGTCTACATATATTGCAACCAGCGGCTGCCAGGCAGGATACGCCCACATTTCGCAAGAGATGGATAGAGAACAAGCTAAAAACAAAAACGATTTTTTGTACAATCAGGGGCCATAATCCAGAAAGTTATGGTCTGAAATGTGCAAATATCAAAAGAGACTGAGATTTTTGGAATATAAAGATATGTTTTAAGTTTCATCAAAATTGGATAAAAATTGTGACCTCTAGAGGGTCCATAACCTTTGAATTACATACTTATACACAATTCGCGTACAAAGAGCAGCCATTTTGGCGGGCAGTTTCATTTCGATTTTCCCGAAATTCGAATTCAACCTTCATTATGGTGTAATGGTGATATATCTAAATGGTTTTTAAAATCGGAAAAAAAATTGTGACCTCTAGAGAATCCACGACTAATTAGGGGCCATAATCCAGGAAGTTAAGTTCGGATATGTGTGATTATCAAAAGTAACCAAGATCTTTATGATAAAAACATATATTTAAATTTTCATCCAAATCGGATAAAAACTGGCCTCTAGAGGGTCCACAACCTTGATATACCATATTTGACATTATTTGCGTACAGGGGGCGGCCATTTCATCCGTCAGTTTTGGTCCGATTTTAACGAAATTAGAACTCAACCATCATTAGTGTGTAATGGTGATATACTAAAACTTTTTTAAATCGGATAAAAATTGTGACCTCTATAGGGACCACAAGCTCAAAACGCATTTTTTTGTACAATCAACAGCCATAATCCAGGAAGTTACGATCTGATATGCGCGAATATCGAAAGGAACCAAGATCTTTGGGTTATAAACATGCATTTCAAGTTTCATCAAAATCGGATCAAAATTGTGATCTCTAGAGTGTCCACAAGCTAAAAACGTGATTTTCCGTAAAATCAGGGGCCATAATCCATGAAGTTATGGTCCGATACATGTCAATATCGAAAGGAACTGAGATCTTTGGGAAATAGACCTATATTTCAAGTTTCGTCAAAATTGGATAAAAATTGTGACCTGTAGAGTGTCCACAAACAAATTGGACGTATAAAAAATAAGAAGACTTGTGAAATAACATCATTGAGGTGAATTTAAATACATCAATAAACTTAATATATTATTAAACTCAATAATAAGGTTTTTGCATTTTGCTTATGTGCCTGCTCACAGATTAGTAGGAAAACTTGTTTGGGAAATCTAAGGTGATCTGTTTTAAATGGGTTGGTTGTTGGAAAACTTCCATAGTGGAGTTAGCACACATGCAACAATTAGCAAGCTATAATAATATTGACTTTACTCATAATCTTTAACATCAATACTTAACCAATGTAAGAAATTCATCAGACATTTTGTAAACACAATAAGCTGCCACTGTCTGATCCTCTTATAATTATAAGAGATGGTTTTCAGTTGTATATAAATCTTTGTTGTGGAATCAGTACACAAATTTGCTGTAAAATTAGTAGAGACATGATGAAGTAATGACTATGATATATTTACAGGTTTATTAAATAGTCTAATAACAATTCATAATCAGCTGTCGGCACACTATTCACTTTTCTTTTTTTCACTCAACTGCTTTTTGTAGGTCTCAGCTTCTTCCTCCTTTTCTCTCAGCTTTTCCTGGAAAGCCTTGGCTTGTTTTTGTACCTCTTCTAACTGTCGTTTTAAATCATCATGGTTATCCTCCACTCCCTCTTTCTACAATATAAACAATCAGCACAAACAAATTGTTTTTAGGAAGCCAATTATGAGTGAGCATTTCTAAGTTTATGTAAAGTTTGTCTTTGTATCCTATTTCTCCAGGTAGATAATTCCTTATAACTTGCTAACAGTGATACGAAGGACACAATTGTATGGAACACAATGAATGTTTATTTGTAATAAACAGTAATTATAATACATTGTGCCCTGTATATTTTCAGTTCAATTACTAATTGCCATTGGAACAATTTAGCAGTAAGTAATGAAATAAAATGAAATAGGGTTTAACGTCCTACTCTGACTGGGCTAATGAAGACGGTTTAGCAGTAAGAGTAGTCATTAAAACCATGGGCACTTGTTGCGGGTACATGGAACATCTTACAAATCAAACAGAACAGTTAAGTCAAAATTTGTTGAGCAACAGTTGGAGAATAAGTATGGAATAAGTATGTTTATGGAATGAGAAGCAGACAGAACTATTATAGTTGGGAAACGACATCCATATAGTCTTGGCACAAACCTGTTCTGTATCTTCTACTGTAATTTCTGTTGTTGTAGTTTCTGTAGTTGTATCTTCAGTTGTTATAGTCTCAGCACCACCTGTTTCTTCTAAATGTAAAACAAGTTGTTCAGTACCATCATCATCTTCTTCTTGTAGTATTTGTTCTGTCGATAAATCTTCTATAACATTATCTTCTATTTTAATCTTTTTACATACAGGTTCATCACTATTATCTTCTGAAAATACAATAATACTATATAGACCAATATGTTCCTTTAATCATAATTATTAGCTCACCTACATGTATTTCATGTGGCCGTTCATGGTGATGATGATTCTGCTCTGCTTACCATTCGCCCATTTTAGTATGTTAAGATACTTTCGGCCGAAAAATTTTACGCCAGCGATTGATTCACCGGCATATTTGCTCGTCTGCCCGCTTCAGCATATATTGTTGGGCTAACCATTTTCATAAGCTAATCGAGGACATCATATCACATCATATCTAAACGGCTGCCTCCACTGCCAAAGCGTAGAGTTTGATGAAAGAAGAATTGGCGACTCTTTTGGCAGAAAGGCATTGCCTGTTTGACGTTACGATTCTAGAGTTTTAGGAGCAAATAAATAGCAGCTACCACAGCAATGTTATGTTTTCGGCGATTCGCCATTTTGTACAAGTCACGTGTTCAACGTAATTTACACGCAAAGTGTTGTATGCTCTCGAGACGATCACTATGTGTGCCTGTTCATGATCAGCCGTAAAAATACGTTCGCCTGCCCATAGCATTAGCCTTTGGGCTGATAATTGATATGAGAGGTCCATCGGAAGATACACATTAAGTCATCAAACTGTGTGTATTTCAAATGTAAATAAAGAAAGTTGGGCGTTTGAGACCCTTCGGGACTAAGTATTATTGTTTAGCCATCCATTGCAAAGGTTCTTAAGTGTGAATCCATTTTAATGTAAATTGTCTAACTCATGGCATGTCATTTACATGTATGTCACAGTTGGGTTCAGTGGTGAAAAGCCCAATTATTTGTATCGTTATATTTCTATTCCTGTGTCCTGAAAAGGTATGGTATTTCAATAGTTTTCACTTGGATCTGAGCTTACATATCTATATAAGGCGTCAGATGGATGAAAATCAAATTGGCTAAATTTTCTGTTATTTTGACTCCGGTATAAATTTGCTGTTCAATTTACAGACTATTTTGTACTCTTGTATAATGACTGATGGCAGAACCAACGCTTTTTGATTGGCAGATTATACTCTGGTAATTTCGGAGGTAAACTCTATCTGAGTCATTTCTGTAAAGGGTGAACAGACTCTGTTTCTTATTAGCATGTCAAGTTACTCCGCAGTTAGTGAAAGTACAACTAGAAATCTATAAGTGGCTGGTAGCCGTCCCAGATGTCTCTCATGAAGCTACTGGTTTCGTTCTTATTCAAACTCATCAGGCTTAAGTGAGATTGAGTGGCTGTTACTTTATTTAGTCATCGGGGACCGGAGCGCAAAATGAGTCTCAGGTAGACCAGCGTAATTCGTATCACTGGATATATGTGAGCAGAAAGACGGCTAAAGAATTGCTTTTTTGCATAGACCCTCCCAACCCTATGTCGTATAAAAATAAACAAACCAACAGTGAGGCTGATGTCCCCCGCCGAAATCCCAAAATAAATAAATGACACATATTAATTAATTGCACATTTATTTTTTTCAAAAGTATCGAGCAATCAAACTGATTATCTACACAGACTCATTTTAATAGTCCCCTGCTTTCTTCAAAAGGTGGGGGGCAATAAACATACGGGAACTATTTGGATAACCAGACTGGGTTATTGAAATGTATATGCACTAATTTTTTAGTATTAGGAAACGCTGTGGGATTTCCATAGCTAGCATAATTTGGAATTTGTGATCGGGACGCTATAGGATATTACTAACAAACCAGCGGAAGAAAATATTTGACAGATAGTCATGTCTTATTCCATGATTAGAAACGGGAAAGCCTGTTATGATAGAGTCTATTGGTTCCTCAAATTAGAGGCCCGGCATATTTTTTGCACCCTTCTACTCCACATATATGGCAAATTTAAAACTTAGTGAAGTTAACTTGGTATTTTTTTTACGTCCCTGCCACTAATAGATTTCTAGTTTTACTGTGTGTGTTTCAGTTATTTTACCTGGTTGTGTTATGAGTGTAACATTCTGCAGAGTTTCAGTATCCACAACAGCTAATGTTTCTTCATTCTCTGTACTATCCTGAGTATTAGCTACTATAGTTATAACTTTCTGTAATAAATATCTTTAGTTAGCTACCTTTCAAAATCAGCCTCCTCTAATATGATTTTCATTTTCTTATCTAGATTTGACATTAAATAAATATGTAACACTTAGGCAATACAAAAATCTGGTTATAAAATAACTCTTCAAAAGAAACTAATGTAGGACTTTGTCGAAAAATCATGTGGAAAGATAACTTATCACACAAATCACAGTTCAATCAAGGTATCACAGTTATCCTATCATCAGTTTATGCATGTGGTTTATAGGAATTCACATAATTACTAATTCTAGTGTTACAAAGCTAAAATTTACTGTACGCTAAACTGATTTAAAGCAGCACAGATTTTGTAATGTGCTTTTCATCTCCAAATTCCATGGAGTATACTTTCAGTCATTTCTTTTCATTGCTAGATGAAGTAGTTCGCAGGATAATTTCATCCATATCCATGAAAGAATGGTCTTAAAAATCTTAAAATTTAAGCAAATGAATCAATAGTTTCATGATAACCATTAGTCAATTTCTAATTCTCAATAATATTTATCAGGGTTGTGTACTTGTTAATTTAGCCAATAGGGCATTTCCGAATTCAAAAAGAAATATTTAACACCCAGAAGTATTTATCAGGGTTGTGTACTTGTTAACTTAGCCAACAGTGCATTTCTGGATTCATAAAGAAATATTTAATATGAATGTGCGGTAATCAATGAATCAACTTTCAATAATGTTCATCCCTGCAGTGCATATAATTTACTGAAATGCAATGAAAGCACACCACTTTTATATATTGTGAATCATGTTGAGTGATACACTTTAATCTTGTCAGATCATGACTATAACACACAAGGCTGGGTTAAGTTTGCATGAGGACCCTGGCTGAAAATATTACTGGGTCCCTTACATCAACAGTGAAAAGGGGGCATCATTGTCCATCACACGTTGTATGGTAGATAGATTTATATGGCACAAACATATACAACATATGGTACAAACTAATTTGGGGGCCACTATAATATTGGGGCCCTTGGCTGCATTTCACTGTAAAGTAAAGTAAAGTTGATATGGCCTCTGTGGGTAGACGGTAGTTGATTTTTTTTGTGGAGGTAAATGTCCAGCCCACAATCATGTCAAAAAACACATTTCAGCCAGCACTTTCAGCAGCATTATGCTTGCCAGCACTTCCAGTGGTGCATTTTCATTGTGTCTCCAATATATATATTAATATATATATATTACAAGCATTCAATTTAAACATAAATTATGCAAGAGCTAAATCTACCCATTGCAGGTCTTTCTTAAGGCCTGAAATGTTATAAAATCTCCGATATTAAGTAGATTAGAACGGTTCAGCCATATTTTGATTTAATCTAAAAATGGTGAAGAGAGGCTAAGCTTAGAACAACCAGTGCAGTGGTTGCAATTAATGCACACATCTTATCAAATCTTCAAAAGCTAAGATCTTCGCTCGCAATGGAGCAATTTGAATGAAATTTTCAATAAAATCATTTAGCATTATCTATTTTCGAACTATTATAGTAAGAATGGCCAGCTCTTTATTTAAATCTTACAGAATATATCTTTAATATGTTCATGCCCAAAGGTCTGTTCCATAAACAAAAAGTAATAAATTATATGTATCATACTTGTGAATCACCATCTTGTACTGTTAACGTTTCTATATTAGAGTTATCTACACCTTCAGTTACTTCTGTTTCTTCAACTGTTTCACCCACTAATTCTTGCTGCTGAATTATATCTAATGCTATTTTTCCTGCTTCTGTAAATCACAATATTACTAATAAATCAAATGCGGTTGAACATCACACTTTTCTGCACCAATTGGGATAATTATAGGGTTCTTTTAAGTGCACACCAAAATGTATACATGATATCTTTTTTCCGCTCCATCCGAACGATAAGACACTGTTTCTCTTTTTTGCACCACTGACAAGGGAAGCCATGCTGGAAAATCAAGAAGAACTTTCTCGGCCAACATCGGAATTGAACCCCAGACACCCTGTATAGTGATCTAGCACCTTACTCACTGAGCCACTATGGCTATAGAATAATTTTTTTTGTTATAAAAGTACAAAGGGCTGATCATGTTTATCTAGTGAAAGTCCCAGTTCTCTGATGTTCCTAAATTCAGTTAATGCTAACATAGCAGACAGTATAATATTTTACTACAGTACTAGAATATCAGGCAGTGTATTCCCAGTTGGGAAATGTATACCCCATTTCGTTGCATAAGGCATCTCCTGCATCTCCTTCTACTGATTTAGGGTGGATTTCAGAGTGCTTCTTTCTACGTACATGTAGTAAAGCCCATATACTTTATGCTAATTTATACATATGGACTGTGGAATGATTGTCATATAGGATCATTGGTACTAAACTCTTTATAGAGATAGATGATACCGAGTAAATATAGTAAAATAACAAACCTGTAAGTGTTATTGTTTGTCCGCTATCGACAGCAGATGTTATAATACTACCATCAGCTGTAGATATCATAGTTATACCATGACTTTCTAACCAATTCATTGTTTCAGCACTACTCACATCTACAGTAAAATTACACAATTTCACAATTACAAGACACAGATCTAACTAACAGATTTTGTGAACTAAATTTATTTGGAAAGCTCATAAATTATCCTGCAGTACTGAATTATAAACAGAAAAATCACAAATATACTAAACAGCAAAAAAAATACGTCAGTACGATTTCAAAATCAGAGAGGCACTTTAATCAAATCAACGACTTAATAAATGGATCAGAGCAATTTTTTGTGAACCGTATGTTGACACATTAGTGATTCATCACAATTCCAAGACATTACGAGAAGGTTTAGAGTCTGTACACAGTCTATACATCAGTATCACCGCGATTGTCAATAACAGCAACACAGGGTCTGTACATGGAGTGGACCAGACGATTGATGAACGCCATTGGCACCTGGAAACACATTCTCAGAAAAGTCTGGCATAATCCATCGGCTGTGTTTCGTCTCAGTACGACGTTATTAAGTCTCCTCTGAATTTCATCCCTAAGATGTTCAATCGGGTTTAAGTCTGGATTAAGGGCTGGCCAGTGCATAACGTTGACACCGTTCTGCTGTAGAAAGTCCCGAGTAACTCTGGCGGTGTGGGCATGGGTGTTGTCATGTGTTGCCAGTTCTGGTGTTGTTGGGCAAACTATAGACGTTCACGTCGATGGCGAGGGGTGAGGGTACGTCCACGGTATGGTCTACGGCAATGGATGTTCTCTCTGGTGAGACGTCAGCGCACTGTATCGGTACTGATGGGTCCTCTGTGTGTTCCCACTGTCTGAAGTGCTGTCTCAGATGCCTGTGTGAAAGGATTCTACATGTGCTATCGTCGCATTGTGGTAACCCTTGGTCTACCAGTTCGGGGCGATGATCCGTGGTTTTGGTGACCCGAAAGCATTGCTGAAGCCTGTAGATTGTCTGAACATTGACCTGGAAGTGATTGGAAATGGCTTGGGAAGTGTGGCCAGCGCCGAGTCTTCCAAGCGCCTGGTTCCTCTGAGCTGTCGTGAGTCGTGACATGCTGCTGACTTTGTAGTGTGAATAATCAAACAAGGTATGGGGGGGGGGCATTTTATAGGGCTGGCCCCGGTGAATAGAATGTGCAGCATGGAGAACACATTACCTGGGTTCAATTTTGTGTTTGGGAAGGAGCCTCATTGCTCAGGTAAAGTTGGATATGTGGTCACAAATATACAATGAAAACATTTGGCAAGTTTTATGCAATGCATCTATTCAGAGTAACATACCAATCTGACGTTTCTTTTGCTGCTTAGTATATATTATATAGTTATACATTTCTTTGCATTTTAAAAAGGTGATATTCTTAAACCTATTTTAAGGTTATAGCTTTTTTTCAAGGCATGTTACAATATGAGCAATACTTATAATGTTTGAACTATTCCTTGAATTTGCTTCATTTGTAGATTTAGGTATAGAAGATGGTTGTATTTTTACTTACTCTGTGAGTTGATTGGACCTGATGCTTCCGCTAATGCTGCCAGTGTAGCTAAAACTGATGTACTGCTTTGATCAGTCTCACATGTACCATTTACACTATCAACTATACAAAACAATAGACTTTACACTATCAACTACAGTATATAAATCAATAGAATTTACACTATCAACTACAACCAAAGCTAGGATACTACACGATATCGTTCAGTCAACCAAAGCTAGGATACTACACGATATCGTTCAGTCAAAGAAACAAAACCTCTTGTAAACCCCCGAAACACTTAGTGAGGAATCTTCCTTTTTAGTACAACTGAATATTCCAGCAAGTGTCATGAGTACATTTTTTGCCGAACAATTTCATCAAGGTTGAAAAAAAGGGTCTCAAAAACTATTGTATCAGTAGAGAGTTACAAAGCTATGGTGACAGGGGCACTAAAATAATTATAGATGAAGAAACCTGTAAACTGCTGATAAGAATTCTGAACAGACAGACAGGGATAATGATAATATACTCAAAGATAAAATTTGAACATTTCAATAACCATGCAACTTTAAGATGACAAACATGATGCACACTGCAACAACATTGATATGGTTAATCTTTTTTCAAAGATTTAATTGTAAAAGTTGTTACATGTTTGTATGAAGGCCTGATGTATGATAGAAATCTTACATTTCTCTGTTTTTATTGATGGTGCTGTATTTTGAACGAGTGTGACTGGTAAAATAGGTAGATCAGAAGAATGGTCACCTTCAAGTTGCTCTGACGTTGAAACAATTTCTGTAGCTTCTGTTGTTTCTATAGTAACTATTTCACCATCAGCATTTGGAAGTGATGGTAAAGTTAACTGAAAAGAAAAATACATGTAACACAAAATCTGTGGGTGCTGTGCATATCTCAGTGGTCTAAAGCCTTTTACTATGGATCTCTGCTATCTTACCACTTTGATTTTAGTTTGACTGCATGATTTGATATGATAAGATCTACATATTATAGTGTAGCCACGCCGTAATATCTCCAGAAGGTAAGGCTTTTGAATGACTAAAGTTGAGATGGCTTGAGACGGATATAAGCTTGATACCTCAAAAATACTTTGAAAGCTAAAATTCAAAGATTTTATTTTAACAAATGAAATGAAATAAGGTGTAACGTCTGCACCAACCGGGAAAGATAGGTTGCCAGGTAATGAAACATACGCCCACAACAGCTAAGTCGTCCGAGCAGTCAACAAGAGCTGTTGCATATTTTTTCTATTGTCGGTAATGAAACATTTATAATACACTAAAATCTGATTAAGAGTAACAACTCATTAAGGAATTATCAGAAAATCATAAGAATTTGTTTGGCTTTTAGTTCTGCCCCATGCTAACATTTAGTATATGAAATATTAAATATCATGGATTTAGCTGTTCAAGTTATCAAAATTCATTGAAAATCAATAAACTTGTTAGTCTCAAGACCTTAAACTCTGTTTATCAATCTAAAGTCAATCGAAATGATTATATATAGGCATAAACACAGTGTATAAATTTAAAGTCAATCGGATATTAACTTTGGCCTCTAGAGCGTCCACAAGATTATTTGAAGTGATCAAGGGCCATAACTCTGGCAGTAATTATCCGAAATCGTTGAAAATCAATAGGTTTCTTCGTCTCTTGACCTTAAACACTGTGTATAAATTTAAAGTCAATCACATATTAATTTTAGCCTCTAGAGTGTCCACAAAATTTTTCAAAGTGATCAAGGGCCATAACTCTAGCAATAATTATTGGAAATCGTTGAAAAGCAATAGGCTTCTTTGTCTCATGACCTTAAACACTCTGTATAAATTTAAAGTCAATCAGATATTAACTTTAGCCTCTAGAGCATCCACAAGCAATTGTGGACACCAGACCAATGGACGGACAGGGGCGACGACAATATACGACCACATTTCAATGTGCGCGTATAAAAATAGATTTCTAACGTACATACCTGTCCATTTCTCAACATTTGTGCCAAGTCCAATCTACCATTAGCTATCGCTATGTCTAAAGGTGTTCTATCAAACTATAACAGATAATTGCATTTGCATGAATAAAATGAAACACCTAATGAATAACAGGCAGTCATTTCAAGTAAATCAGTAGACTTGTACAAAAAGGATAAACACATACTTATTGTATCAAATATATGAACAAATCTATGAACATAAATAAAATATAAATTCAAGAAATATTTATGTGAATAAAACTGGTTAATTCAGGGTAGTGGACTCCAACAAATCCTTTTATTCTATTTCCAAGAAACAATCTTAAGCTCTGAGATTTCCCGGTATGCTTTCAAATCAATGTCAACTAACAATAACTTTTGGGGTTTGAAAATTGGGACCTCTGTTTGAGATTACCTTATTTGCACAATTTATGTCAGCACCATGTTTTAATAATACTTCTATAATCTGCACATGACCTTTTTCTGTTGCCCAATGAAGAGGTGTCATTTTCAACTATGAAAAAGTAGAAAAAACAATATCATCAATGCACATTCAGAACATAGAAATAGAAAATATACTATACACCAGGATTAGAAAACAGGCTTACATTATATGCCCCAAGATTTGACTGTTACATATTTTTAGAGAAATTTCAAAGTGATCTTTTATTACAAATAGTCAATACATTAAGTTACGTAAATCTGGCATTAAAACTGTAAAATAAGCGCAAATTACCATGTCCTTTGCGTCAATATCTGCTGCATTTTGTAATAACAATTCCACTATGCCAACATGTCCTTCCTGAGCTGCTACATGAAGAGGTGTTCTATCAACTTTAGTTCTAGCATCACGACTAATTCCAGCTCTTAACAATACCTCTACTGTATGCTGATGACCACATTGTGTGGCAAAATGGAGAGGTGATGTGCCAAGCTGAGGGTTACAAGAAAATAAATTTTACAAGAGTAACAAGCAAACTGTGAGGCTGATGTCCCCCTATCGAAATCCCAAAATAAATAGATGACACATATTAATTAATTGCACGTTTATCTTTTTCAAAAGTATCAAGCAATCATACTTATTAGTGATTATCAACTATACACTAAGTTTCATCACTCTCTATCAGACAGAATCAAAGTTAAAGAAATTGCTTATCTCTGCTTAGCTTTAGCAGGAAATGTTAATCTTTGAACTCAGTCAAGACATTGACATCAACATCAAGTTTAAACATTCTACCTCAGTTAAAAGCAGAGATGTTATGTAATATAATGTTCCAACGTCTTGACCAATCAAATTGCTTATCGTTCCTTAGCCTAAGCAGGAAATTCTCATCAAACTTAGTCAATGTAATAATGAATCTATACTCGTGAGTTTCATAGTTCTCACTTAATTATAACCAAAGTTATCATGCCCAAAAGCATCAACCAATCAAATTGCTTATCTCTGCTTACCGGAAGCAGACAATGTTCATCGAGCTTCATCAAGGCGTTCACCTAATGAACGCCTACACCAAGTTTGAATATTCTACCTCAATTAGAAGTAGAGTTATTGTGTTTCAAAGTCTCGACCAATCAAATTGCTTATCGCACTGCTTACCCTCAGCAGAAAATGTTCATTATCGAACTTAGTCAAGGTACTGATGTGATGAAACTATACACCAAGTTTCATCACTCTCACTTAAACATACATTATGCAAGAGTTAAATCTGCCTATTGCAGGTCTTTCTTTAGGCCATAATCAACTCTCAATGGCATCGGATTTCTCTGATATTAAATAGATTAGAACAGTTCAGCCATAGTTTGATTTAAGCTAAAAATGGAGGAGCGAGACTTAGCTTCGAACAACCAGTACGGTGGTTGAAATTATTGCACACATTTTGTCAAACCTTCAAAGGCTAATATCTTCGCTCGCAATAAAGTAATTTGAATGAAATTTTCAAATCATTCATTTTACATTATTTATTTTTGAACTAATATAGCAAGAATGGCTAGCTCTCTATCTAAATCTTACATAATGTATATTTAATCAGAGCTAAAGTTATTGTGTCCCAAAGCATCAACCAATCAAATTGCTTATCTCTGCTTACCCTAAGCACAAAATGCTCATCTCCGAAGTTCGAACACCATCAAGGCATTAACCTAATAAACACCTACACCAATATTCTACTTCAATTAGAAGGAGAGTTATTGTGTCCCAAAAAGTCTGACAGACAGACAGACGGACGTATGGACGAAACCCTGCTTTCTTTGGAAGGCGGGTACAAAAATTACATAATTTGTTCAAATTGCCCACATGCAAAAACAATTATCTTATAACTAGGTAACATAAATGTATATACATTAATGGCAAAATATTCATTTACAGAAAATACAAGCCAACAGAGACCTCAATCCCAAAATAAATAGATGATACACATTTATGAATTGAAAGCACCGAGCAACCAAACTGCTGATCTATACAAATGTATGTATACTTAGCCTAAGAAGAAACCCCCATGATTGAACTCTGTCAAGGATTTGGTGTCGTGAAACTATACACCAAGCCTCATCACGCTCCCTCAATTAGAATCATAAAAAAAAAATAATCAAAATTAGCTTGTTTGTACTTTTGCATGATCTGACTAACCACAAGTTTGTAACATCAACCGACAAATTTTGTAATTGTTTGAGTATTACTATGACATACAATAAATAAAAGTATTACCCAGTCTGTAGTGAATGGGGCTCCATTGGACATCAACGCTCTGACAGCATCTGTGTCACCTTTTTTGGCTGCATCTAGCAGCCGCTTACCCAAGTCAACCAATGACATTGATTAACTGAAAAACAAGTGACATGAATGAACATCAATAGCACAATTTTACAGTACCTGTTTGATAAGCTCAAAAGAAGTAATTTTAAACAACCCATTGTACATTAGTTTTTCAAACATGTTGAATTCCCAACATAAAATTGTACATGCGTACATGTTTTATTTAACAACTGTAATAGGGATCACTGGTTATGGTTTCTGAGTTGTAAGATCATCATTATAGCATTAATGAAGTATATAACCAATAAGCTGTTCGAATACACGATTATCTTTTGGTCTTTCCAACAAAGGAGTTGAGATACATCAAAAAACAGCCTGTCAAAAAGTATCTGAATTATATGAGGCATTATCTTGTAATTCAGTCTTCGGCATTCAGTGCAACCTCAAGGTGCGGATGCAAGTGCTACCAGTCCCTTTTTATACGTCCACATTGCTGTCGCCCCTGTCTGTGTGTGTGTGTGTGTGTGGGCGTGTGTGTGCGTGTGTGTGTATGTTTTGCCTACATGTCGCAATTCTTAAAGATACATTTGTTAAGAGTTTAATAAAGAGTTGGTCATTCTTGCTATAATAATTTTAAAAAATAACATAAAAAAAGAAAATATTGAAAATTTTATTCAAATTACTTCATTCTCAGCAAAGTTATCATTGTTTGTAGTTTTGACCATATGTGTGCACAGTGGTAACCAGGCCACTCGCTTTCCCATTTTTAAATTATATTTTTATACGTGAACCGTTTTAATCTAGTTAAAATCACAAGTATTCGATGCCATCGAGAGAGAGAGAGAGAGAGAGAGAGAGAGAAATGGGTTTAACGACACAAACTAGGTCATTTTGGGACTAACATATGGTTTAATTTTATTTCAATAATTTGCTTGCGCATAGGGGTCTTTAGCAGTGGGAGGAAACCGGAGGACCCGGAGAAAACCCACGAGCTTGGACAGGCAACTCTACTCCTTGTCACGTACAACCGGGGATTCGAAACCACGCCAGTCGAATCAATGACAGACTTTATGATAGAGCGTGCCCGATGCCATCGAGAGTTGATTATGGTCTGGATAAGTTAATTAACGTCTAATTAATAATTTAGATAACATTTCAAGACTAAAGAAAGACCTGCAATAGGCAGATTTAGTACTTTACATACTTATTCCTTATACATGTACCAGTGATTCTCATAGCTGTGTTTGTCTTTATTTAGTTTGAGTCATTCTATGTGTCTATGACTAGTCTCTGTCTATGGTTGTATGCGGTCTGACTTTACATGTTATTTTGCAAAATTCAGATACATGTATTTCTCATATATATTTAGCCAGGTGTGTCGCTATTTTTTCATGTGTTCTAAGATGTGCCGTTGGCGAAAAAAAGGTGGGAAACAATGCCTTTTACCCTAAGGATGATCCCTATTGTTTTTGGTGCATGCCCTACCACCAGGGGCAGAGCCATGCCCATTTCTTGTTTTTGTTTGTTGTCTGCAGGCCGCATTTCCTAACTTATCATCTTGAAACTTTGCATACTTATTCCTTATACCTTAAAGAACATCCCTATTGTTTCTGGTGCATGCCCAACCCCCAGGGGCAGAGCCACAGCCATTTTCTTTTTGTGTGTCGCCTACAGGTTGCAATTCTTAATCGATCGTCTTGAAAACTTGGGAGAGAGAGAGCCACGTCCAATTTTTGTGTGTGTCTGCGTATCGCCTACAGGTTGCAATTCTTAACAGATCCTTTTGAAACTTTGCATTCCTATTCCTTATACAGTAAATAATCGATCGTCTTGAAAACTTTTTATACTTACTCCTTATAACCTAAGAATGACCTAGATTATTTTTGGTGCCTGCCTGACCCCTTGGGAGAGAGAGAGCCACGTCCAATTTTTGTGTCTGTGAATCGCCTACAGGCTGCAATTCTTAACAGATCCTTTTGAAACTTTGCATACCTATTCCTTATTATTATCATTATTATTATACCATGAGGATGATCCCTATTGTTATTTGGTGATCGCCTAACCCCCTGGGGCACAGCCACAATTCCTAATGGATCATCTTGGAACTTGGAATATGTATCCCTTATAGCGTAAGGGCGGCAACTATTGATTTTGGTGCATATCCCGACAAATAGGGAGAGCCACGCCCAATTTTGTTTAGCGCCCGAAGGCCACAATTCTGAATGGATTATCTTGGAACTTGGTATCAGGGCTGGGGCCATTACATGTACATTGCCAATGTAATTAATTACATTACCATTTAAATGTAATCATTACAATTACTTTCTCATTTCTAGCAATGTAATTAATTAACATTACCCATTACATTGAAAGTAACTAATTACCATTACCCATTACTTTATGACTATATATAAATAAAAAACATTTTTCATAGAAATTAAAAAGACAAAAACCTTATTTTTCTGCCATGAAGCGCCTACAAAATCAAACTCAAAATAATCCTTGATTCACTTAATGGATATTTGTTTATGAATTGTCATTTCTAGCAATTATAACATCGAGGCAAATTTTATAGTGACAGGCAGTGGTGACAAAAGCTGACATTTTCACTGTATGACTTGAAAAATTAAAAAACAGTATAGTTAATTAACTGTATTTTCTTTTTTAAAAGTAATTTTTTTAAAATTTTAATCAATCCAAATAGTTTGTCCATAATATATTGTATAATAACTGGTAAATTATTCAGCATGACTCTAAAACAAAATATATATTAGTTTCAAGTAACCATAAAATGATGAAATACTTGAAGGTCATTGTTTGGTTTGTCGCTTGTTACCTTGAGATTAAGATTAAAGTGTAGTAAAACTATTTATTGTCTTTTAATCTAACTAACTGATTGATTGACTGAGTGACTGGCTGCAAATTAGCACTAAACCTTTGATAACAATAATTTTATGTTACATGTCTTAAATATAGGTTGCCAGGCAACAAAACATACGCCCACAGCAGCTAAATTGTCCGAGCGGTGGTCAAGGGTTGTCGCATATTTATTCCTTTGTAGGTAATTGGGGGCCTTTACAAGACAGTTCCATACAGATCAGATTATAAATTTTGTCGTTTGAGGGTTTACAAGGTTCTACAAACTGAAACAAGGGTCTCAACTCTGGAAGTAATCTACAGAAATTGTTGAAATTTGACAGGCTTTTTCGTTTTACTAATTTAAATAATGTATATATATTTTATACAGATCACATGATCACTTTTGTCATTCAAACGTTCACAATCGCCATAACTCTTGAAATTATTGACAGAAATTGCTGAAATTCAATAGACCTGTTTCACAAATTTAAATGATGCATATAAATTTCATACATATCGGATGATAACTTACATCAATCGAGCATTAACAAGGTTTAACAAAGTGAAACAAGGGCAATAACTCTAGAAGCAATTATTGTAAATTGCTGAAATTCAATATGCTTCTTCGTTTCACTAATTTAAATAATGCATATAAATTTCAGAAAGATTGGATGATAACTTTTGGAGTTAGAGTGTTCACAAGGTTCAATAAAGTGAAACAAGGGCCATAACTCTAGACGTAATAAACAGAAATTGTTGAAATTCAATAGGCTTCTTTGTTTCACTAACTTAAATATTGCATATAAATTTCACAAAGATCGTATATGTTAACTTTTGGCATTAGAGCGTTCACAAGGGCCATAACTCTAGACGTAATAAACGGAAATTATTGAAATTAAATAGGCTTCTTCATCTCACTAATGTAAACAACATATATCAATTTTAAAACAATTGGATGATAACTTTTGGCATTAGAGCGTTCACAAGAAATTGTGGACGATGGATGGACAAACAGACGGGGGTGACAGCAATATACGTCCACATTTCAATGTGGGCGTATAAAAATGGATCCTACATATAAAGTATTAATTAATGAACATGTTTAATGCCTTCTCATTCTTCTTATAATTTGTTAAAACTGATTTAAATCTTTTTTTAAAATTATGATGAATTGGATTTGTGTCAGATACACTTAATTGCTTCTTTGGTGCTATAAAATATTACATGATTTTTGGAATGTAATTAATTACATTTCCATTACTTTTGAAATTTTCCATTACTCATTACATGGCCATTACTTAAAAAATGTAATGATTACATTCCATTACCATTACCCCAGCCCTGTTTGGTATACTTATTCCTTATACCCTAAGGACGGAAACTATTGATTTTGGTGCATGATTTGTTTTATCATACAGATGTGTACCTTGTCCATTGAATGTGCAAAATTTTACCTCAGAGAGTCAGAAAATGGGTTTTGAGTTTCAGGTACTCCCTTGTCTGGCACCTGTCTTGAAGTAAATTAATCAGATGGAAGATATTGTGATCAGCGGTGCTCTGTATAGTCTCTACATATATGTACAGGAAGGCCTATCTTTAAAATGAGTAGGTTTTCTGATCTAATTCTCCATATAAAATGATGGACTTCATTCTGAAACCCTTGTCTATACAGTGCAGATTAAGCCGTCGTTTCTTTTGTTTAGAACCCAAATTATTTTCTTCAACACATTATCTGAGTTTCCCAGGTCCAGGTAATTTTATCCATGAATCATGATCGATGGCAATTTATATAAAATCATGAATGGTATTGGTGGGTGTGTCATTTGGGGGTGCATACCTGCCAACTGTCACGCATTTGGCGTGAGAATCACGCATTTTTAATCAAAATCACGCTCTCACACATTTTGAAAACTATAGTTTAAAAATAAAATAAAAAGGATTTCCATGTACGAGTTACATTCGGATGAACATGGATGAGATGCAATTAGTCAAAAGTTTCCATGTATCGTCGCCAATCGATCAAACAGTGACTGTTATTTGAGAACTTTAACTTAAAGACATGTTTTTATATTTTGAAGTAACAATTCTAACAATTTATATACTGAAGTGTATTTGAATTATTGATTATTGCCACTAAAAATTATTCCAAGTGATCACGTAAATTGTAGTTCATTCATTCGTCTTTGCCAAAACTGTTATGATCTGCATTAAAACTTTTAAAATGTATCTCTTTTGTGAATAATTTTATCTCTATTCTCCAAAAGTATTTTAAAAGTACTAAATCCTTTTTCTGCCCCCAGCTTCGTTAAATCTCACTCATTGCAAACATTTTAGATTGGCAGCTCTGGGGGAGTAAACTAAGTTTAGCAATGCAAAAGCTCGCTAGGGGCGCCACTGTTACTATTTTTTATCACTGTCAAAAAATCTGACCGTAAAATCTGCCGTTTTTGTTCCGCGACTTCGGGAAGGTGTATGACCACTAACACCGATGACTTTTTACTTTTCGTGAAGAGGAGAAAACAGAGTTTGTGTCGAGCGTGGTTTGGACATTCAGAAACGTATTTATGACTGATTTTTTATATTTTGAAAAAATAAAATTCTCAGAAAAAGGCAAAAACGACGCTCGTCACTGGAAGTTAACGTATTTTCTCATAAAATGACCCTTTTTCTAGTTATATTGACCTGTATTTCATTCCCCTACTGTTGGAACTAGTGCCAGAGCTCGGGAAAACATATCATGTGGAAGAAAAGAAAAGGTAACTCCACCAATGTGGGTGCAGACCACAGCAGCTTTCTTGTTAGTGTGAACGTGTCAAACCAAGTTTCCCTTTTGCTAACAGTGGGCTGATTCTGAGGCACGATTTTCAAGTGTACTTTTTAGGGGTATAAAGTCTGGTGCACGGTTTGAATTCTTTCTCTTGTATTGTTACAATATTTTATTGATTCTAATAACACTTCCTTAAAATTAAATTTTTTAAAAAATTCTCTCTTGGATTACTTTCTCTTTTGTTGGTGATCAAATGACAGCCATATGGAATCTGATACAAGAAAATGAAATGGGGTTTAATGTTCTACTCCTACTGGGCTAATGAAGAGGGCAAGGGCAAGGGCAAGGTCTTGGGTAGGGGGGAACACGCCAATGTAGTGTACTATGAGGGGAAACTTTGCCAAAACAGCGGCTCAACAGTCTACTCTTATTTCGAATTCCAACTGTCGAGGGTTTCTTTTATGCGCACATGGGACATCAGTTTTTTATTCTATCTGAATGACTACATGTATGTTGTCACTTGCTAGGTCAACCGTTGTACATCTGGGGGGAGGCTGGTGTGTATAACACAATGAACTTGCTCGGCTAATGCAGGAATTGAACACGGCACATCAAGTTGAGTGAGTCAATGTCCTACCCACTGAGCTACCGTGGCTCCCTGTTGCCAGAAAAGAAAATGGGCTGGATGAGTATGGGATGTCCAGTGCTCTATCCCCAGAATTCACTTTGTTTTGCAGATCAGAGAACCTGACAATGATAAGTTGAATGAAAAACAAGGTCGTATGTTCAGATTAGCGGCGAACAATAAAGATCCCTAGATACCTACAAATCGAGGAGCAGTCTAGGAAGTTGGATTAATTCTGCCGGCTTAAACTTAAAGCAATACCCAAAATTTGAGGTCCATCATATGTGAATTCTATCTTTAAAAAGTCTTCAGCACAAATAACCAAATTGGGTTTTTTTTTTATCCATGTTGCGGACCCCATATTAAAATAAATTATATAGCCCAAGTTTAAAAATTCCAATAGATAGTTAATGGTCGGAAGGATATTTCCTGAAAATTTGATCCCAATATCTTCCATAGTTGCTGAGAAATGGTCTTCGGTCACTTTTTTGGCAGATTTAAAAAAAAAGTGTATACTGACATCCATCAATTTGGGGTCTTAAAAGTGATACAACTTTTTTATTTCTTAACCGATTTTTAATTTTTTAGTCAGTTTTAGTCAGATTCAAAAATATAAAAAAGCTACTAGTACTAAGTACTGTAACTTGTAAGTACAACCAATGACTCATGATTGACATCGGGGGGTGTACACTATTCAACTCGAATAGTGTGAACAGTGTCCAGTCAGTAGGGCTTGTTGTAAAGCAGTAAACAACATGCATTGAAATTTGGACTGGTGTTCGACTTCACGAGTTCAAGGAATGAAAACATTCATAATATAAGATGGTCAAGTCAGACAAGAAGTTTTAATGTTTCTTCAAGTTCAGATTCTCAAAACATAGTGTAAATTAAGATATATGACATTTGTGGACTTGGGAATCAATGGCACTAAAGGGCTATTTAATTTTCTTAAAATATTCATTTGAAAAAAAATGCTAAAAATTTCAGGAATCGGATATTCCGCCATTTTATGACGGAAGTGGCATGTTGACAAAACGGAAAAGGACATCCATAACTTCACTTCCGCTGACTTCGGAAGAAAACTTCTGCCTTTAAAAGGTGTCAGGCTCTTTTGAATATAGTCTATAAGACAGTCGAACACAAACCTTATCAAATGATTAAATCAACCAGTTGAATTTCTTTTCTTCTGTGTAGTTTAAGCCGGAAGTTTAACGATGAATGCGAACCACCGGAAATGATTGACGTAAACAAAGCAAATTCATCCGCCAAAATAAGTTTTTAATATTTATGTAACTGAGTTTTTATATCAGACTATATTGCTTACAGTTTGAATTTATAAAGCAATGGAATTCGGAAGTTTGTTCAATAACGTTCACGCGAATAATAAAATTCAGGAAGAAATACAATGTACTATATTTTCAAGTTTCGACCTCTTCACCGGGCACCTGGTCACGCGAGTTCTCGCGCAATGTTACGGGATATACCAAATGTGTAAATCTGCTTATTTAGTACTTCGACCACACCCGAAAACCAAATAATGGGCGTCTATTAAAAATATTTACAAAAGGTTATGCACGCAATATGACCCAATTTATAAATATGTTCAAGGGGCTGCATTGAAAAAAGCACTTGCTACAACTGTTATAGAACAACAACAGCCTTTTGTTACCGCAGTGCTGATCGGGTCAAGAATTCGTCTGCTAGAACAGATTACTCATCCAGTTATTATTATTTGATTGTGCTTCAACGGCTTATGTTTCTCAAAATATAACAACACCATTGTTTATAGTAGATCTATATGTGCAATAACTTCTATAACCATACAAGTCATTTTATTGATTGCATTATTTGACCCCTTTCTATATCAAAACAAATTCTAAGAGTAAGAGACTAGCTTAAATTTGTTTGTTCATTGAGGAATTAATAATGATCCATGCAATCTCAGCGTGAATTTCATTTTATATAGTTATTGGCCTATGTGAGTTATGAATGTCAATGAATTAACAATTTATGTTTTGTATTTGCAGATTATGGTGTCTTGATTCAGAAAATTTATTTGGATTAGTACGGTTAACGGTGAATTGAATGATGACCAAAATAAATTTAAAATTATGCAGCTTAAATAACATCTGAAAGTCATTATGGATCTTTAACAAATATAACAGTGCTCTATGTCTTTTTATCTTCGGTATTTTAGATCCATTTCAACAAAACAAGTTTTATGAAAATCTAGTTTCGGACATTTTGGGAATGACATCAGATTATGCCCGTGCAGTCGCTGTCACATGTGACCGATGCCAGTCCAAAATGCAATTGATCTCAGAAATGTTACTTCTTTCCTGTGACCCAAGACCTGTCAATACAGAAGAAATGCAGCAACTTGATGGTTCATTCCAGTCTTGTAAAAAGGAAATCTCCCTTCGTCTCAAAGATCTTTCAAAAACAATTCAGTCTGTTTCGTCACAGGTTCACACAGTCTCTGTAATCTGGGCAGACATGTCAGTTGAAATTCAGAATCTTTCTGATTGTGCCATTTTGATTATGGAGTGCTGTAGTTTTGCAGCATACATGATAGCTATAAATTCTGCAGATTGTGTGAAGGCAGTACCAGGATTGATAGATAAGTATCAGCTTTGTAGAGCTGGTATAGAATTAAAGTTGAGCTGCACAAGATTAAAACGATCTCGCCTTGAAGATATAACCTCACAAGTATTAGTTGAAGTCTGTTCCTCTATATCAAAAGCATTGGCAGTAATGACAGAATGTTGTAAAAATGCTATTGAGAATGCCAAAGATGAAAGTGATCAAGATCAATTTAAACTAAGTTTAAAAAGTGTCACCTCCAGTGCTAGTTGTTTATTAGCTAGTGTGAAGGGCTTTCAAAATAATTCCAACACGAATTACTTGAATCGTGTTATATCATTCTGTGACCCTGTGATAACCTCTAGTCATGCATTAGTCACTTTTGCTACAGAAGAAGATTTTGTGGGTATTCCTGCTAGCCTGACTTTGGAGGCTAGAGATAAACAAAAATATGTGCTAGGTACATACATGTAATTTTTTTTATCATTAAATAATTGTACAATTAGGATTAGTCATTATGATGTTTATAAAAGTAATGTAACTTAATCTAAAAATTAAACAGGCATTTATATATGTAAGTGCTAAATCTGCCTATTGCAGGTCTTTCTTTGGACCTTAAATATTATTTATTTTATTAATTAGACATTTATTAACATGACAAGACCATAATCAACTCTTGATTTCATCAGATGGCCCTGATTTTAAGTAGATTAGAACGGTTCTGCGATTTAGCAAGAACAACTAATTCTTTATCTAAATCTTACACAATATATCTTTAAGTTTTGTGATGTAACGAATGTAGTCTATTTCGTGACTTTGGCTTACCCTATAAAAACACACCTGAAGTCAGCAATGGTAATTACAATGGACTTATGACTATAAAACTTATGAACGCTTAATCTTTATAATCAATTCGAGTATATATTTCTTACAGAATATATCATTTATCAATTTGTTTAAATTGTTTGTATTTGCAGGTGCTTGTATGAGTATTGTGTCAGGTAGTATTCAGATGTGTAAATCTATTCGAGACCTAGCTTATGATATGATAAACACAAGACACAGAGAGCGAGTCACTTTATGTTCAGAATCAATAGACAGATCATCAGTCCAGTTATTAGATCTCCTGGATAAATACAATATCATAGAGTTTGATTCCTCAATAGAAACCTCACCGTCATCAAATCATACGTCTACTGATTTAACAGCATTATCTAGTCTGTAGTCTATGTATATCTCACACTTTATTAGTTGATATGCCAAAGATATGCACTCTTACACAACTCATAATATATAAAGTACTGTTAGATACAGGTATAACATGTATAAAACTTAAAGTTTGCACATACATATTTTGTTCTTTTAAAAAAATTGTTGTTGATGTCAAATAAGTGTTAGATAAAAAAAAAAGTGATGTTATTAGAGGTTCTGTCTGTTCTATATATTTGTTCAATCAATTAGTCTAAGGCCCTGCACACACCAAGGATTATTTGTTGAATAATCATCTTCCTGTGCATCATAATGCCATCTGATAGAATGTCCCAGACATTTCATTGTTGATATGTGTCATACTGGTACACAATGCATTGATGGCAAACCACAGTGATTGATAGAATGTTTCCAAATGCACATTTTTATACCAGAGGTTGTTCATTTAATCCTTTGATGGAAGGCACTACGTTTAGTCTTGTTTAAACCAATAATGGTAGGGTGAATGAAATGTAACCATGACAGTAGTGAAGAGTACTGTGCACAGATGTGTAACTATGGTGACAAGAAGTGGGCAACAAATATTTGGTATTTCACCACAGATTTGCTGATGAAAAATTGGACAAAAAATAATTCTTGGTGTGTGCATTTACTGCTGTAAGCCTTTAATCATGAAAAAACATGAATGATATATCTTATATAAAAATAGTGCTAAAAAAAATGATAAATCCGTGAAGGTATTTTATTGTGGTTTTATTTAATTGTTGATATATAAAACATAATATTGTGTATAATATATTTTACCCTCTGCATTCCTACATAGGGCAGTCATATGTCAGGGATATATGTATAAATAAACATGTATGTTTTATCCCATATTTAAAGCAACAGTGAGCATATAATATTTGATTGTTTTATTTAAAATGTTAAGTTGTGTCAGTGTAAATATGTACTGTGGAGTATTGAATAATGTTCATATATTTGTCTGTTAAAGATGCCTTCCCACCTACAAACTGTGTGATTTGATAAGCTATATTTGGATTAAAACATTCAAACTACGGTAATATAATTTATCTATCAAAAGGGTACATCAGCCCCTCTCAAAACATTTTAATCAGAAAAAAATTACTCTAATCTATTTTTAATCATCCATTATCAGCTTTTATTTGTCGTTACGTCACTTTACTTCTACCATTAATATTGAATCCTTAGTAGATTCCTGGATTATCCTCTGCCAAACTCCCTTTCCTACAGTTAAATCGCGAGGGTGTGTGTGTGTGTTGAATGGCCGAATGGTTACCACGCGCAGGCTATATCATAAGGTCTGTCATTGAGTCAACTGGCGTGGTTTCGATTCTCCGGTTGTATGTGACAAGGAGTAGGGTCGCCTGTCCAACCTCGTGGGTTTTCTCTGGGTCCTCCAGTTTTCTCCCACTGCTAAAGACCCCTACACGCAAGCGAATTATTGAAATAAAATTGAACCATATGTTAGTCCCGAAATGACCTAGTTTGTGTCGAGTGGACGTTAAACCCCATTTCTCTCTACAGTTTAATCGCACAGTCTACTGGACGATTAATTCTCTCAGTGTCCTCAAAACTGTTAGCCATTAGATCAACACATAAGCTCTCCTTGTGTCACTCAAACAGACAGTTAAACTGACTGACTATCATACATTCCCATACATTTTTATCATGTGAGTTTTCAGTGAGTGTTTTTTCAGTGAATCCAGTATTCAGTATTTTTCTAGTAATATTGGGTGTTTCTACTTTCCATATATACCAAACTTGCTATACTTTTATTGGAATAACTATTCGATAAATACTTTTGTGGGAATGTTTCTTTAATAGTCGTGAATTTATTGTTTACCTTAATGTCAATAGAAATGTAAGCACGTTTATAAATCAAATAATTAAAAATGACAATACATTAACAAGTATTATAGAGGTTGTGGTTAAATGAAATAAAAATGTCAATCAGGTAAACACAATAATTTTGGGCAACAAGGCATGCACAAAGTGAGTATGATTTTACATATATCTAGACCAATAACCATTCTGCTCACACCACATCTGTTTTGGGAAATGGCAAGACTGTGACAGAACTCAATACTGCAATTTGGAACGTTCGGGACTGATGGTTTAAAGATGCAATTTGTTTGTGCAGGTCTGAACAATTTGATGTCATTAATCGGCTTATCATACTCATTCTAAATACAGGTATACCTTTGGATTTAGAAATTTGAAAAATTAAGCCCTGCTACATGCATTCCCCTTCAACTCTTCTCAAACTTCTGCGATTTTGTGTGTCCAATAAGTCTTTTAGCTTGATTTTTCAAATGCTTTTTCTGAGAAATATGGGGGTTTGTAGGATACAGTAAGCTGTAGATGGCTATAATATACGGTAGTAGTATATTTTTACAGCATGCAGAGATTGGTCATGAACTGTTTGTGAATACAACAGTATGCAGTAGATTATATAGTGTTTAATTAGGTTAAATAATTATTTTTAAGCAAAAGATTTGTTTTTGAAAAATGATAGTATAGCTTACTTTCTCTATTTCAGTTTTATGATACAATACGTCCATTGAAGTATGTTTTTGTGAATCTGTTCATCAGGGTTTTTTCCTAATTTAAAAAGAGACATTTTAGAATTGTTTGTCTGGTCATAAGGAGGAAATCTATCAGGAGAGAGAAATGGAGTTTAACATCCACTCAACACAAACTAGGTCATTTCGGGACTAACATAGGGGTCTTTAGCAGTGGGAGGACCCAGAGAAAATCCGACTCCTTGTCACGTACAACCAGGGATTCGAAAACCCGCCAGTTGACTCAATGACAAACCTTATGATACAGCGCGCTCACGTTAACCACTCGGCCATCCCACCCCCCTATAAGGAAACACACATCTAAAGTTGATGGCACCTTGTCATTACACGTAGTTTTTTCGACAATTATTGTTACTTTGACTTACTATATTAGTAAGTGCAGGGTGACGTGGCCACACCACGCACAACAATCAAATGCTGCATGTAACTAGAAAAACACCAGATAATTACATGGGACGCTACTTGTAAAATTGACAGTTAGGACGAAAAAGTGCTGATATATTTTAGTTTGGTTTCTTTTCATAATTGATTTGTAACTGCGCTTATTTCTGTTCTATTATATAAACAGAAAGGTATGTATTTAAATATAAAATTTGTTATTTATTTTGATAGTACGATAAACATAGTGAACTTTATTTCTTTCTACAGATATATAATACTGTATAAAAGGGAAAGATGTGTAAATAAACAGCTTTTTTAAAATTTTCTTTTTTCCTTTTTTTAAAAAAGAAAATTCTTTTTATTTGAAAATCATTTTAAATTTGTTTATAACAGATTTTCTGATTTTTTTATGTGAAAATTGTAAAAATGCCTCAGTCAGTTGATAGTCTTGCGTACATTTTTCAGCTAAGAATAAAAAGAAATTATGATTAGTCATGAAATAAGCATAAAACAGTTATAGATAATTTTAAGAGCATTGAACTATTATCTCTGTAGAGAAGGTCTGTCTTCCATTCTAATAGAATTCTGTCTGGTAGTTATAAATCTACACTTCCCTCTTCTAAATATAACAAGAAAAATAACCTTACTAGCAGTGCTACAAGATAATGCATTTCAAAGCAGTGCTACAAGATAATGCATTTCAAAGCAGCTCAATTTTTGGACACTAAATACTTTACTTAGACAGTTCTTATTATATGGTCAGAGTGAAATGTAGCATAAATATTTGATATGGACTTTTGTTTAGTTTTATTTTGTATAATATTTTGTAATGTGTCTGTCATGATGTGGAATACAGTAGTGGTTTATTTAAGTGTAACTATGAGATATTTGTATAAATACATAAAATTTCCTTATATTATCAAGATGGAAGCTGGACTTAGTAATCATCTATTATCATTTTAATTTACCTTTATGTCTTTTATTAATATAAGTTTGTAGTTATGAATTAACAACTGGCATCTAAATTTTTCTTATTTTTCAAAAAGAAATTTTGTTGAATCTAACTTTACATTTTGTTCAGTGCGTGCATAATTTAAAAACAATTGATTTTGAAATCTAGTCTTTATAGTCATTTTGTACTTAGATCTGATTTATTTTATTACTGCTTGTTTTGTTTATTGAATTCCAGTATTAAAATAGTTGATAATATCAAATTTATTATCTGTTGTTATTGATTATATAATGAGGAATAAGGGAATTGGACTTTCATTAAAGGAAAACTTCGAACGGTTGCAGATGTTTGTATTTTATAAGGAAGCAGGACAACTGCCGGCGAGGACAACTGCTGACAAGGACAACTGCTGACAAGGACAACAGCCGGAGGGACAAATGCCAATGATACTTAATAATTAAATATTCTTTATTATTATCATACAGGTTCAGTTTACATAACACATTGTCTATAATAGCACTCACTGATACAAAGTTATCACAGGTGAATATTATGAGCAATACCACGTAAATAGTCCAACACATGGCGACTGTTGAATTTACAGACAATGTTTAGTACACGCTCTGTACTGTTAAGTTATGTTTTAATAATGATTACATGTATAGTGCTCACCCATCAATTAATAAACTATACTAAAAAAAATCCAATGAAATCATTGCCAATAAGATTAACAGTTATATTTTTATAATGATTACATATATACAGTTTATAACTGTTGTCTTATTGACATTTATCATTTAATAAACTTTACTAAAAAAGAACAAATAAAATCACTGGCAATAAAATCAACAGTTATAAACTTTAATAAAAAAAAATAATAAAATGGTCGGCAGTTGTCCTCGCCGACAATTGTCCAACCGGCATTTGTCGGCCAGCAGTTGTCCTAGACCCTTTATTAGTATCTAGTATTAAAATAGTTTCAACTATTCACAACCTGAAGTGCAAATCATTACACCTTTAATTTACAAATTACAAGTTAAGATGTCTTTTTTGGCTGGTTTCCAGAGTACGAAGAGTAGAAAAGTGCTGCTGTTTGTTTATTTACATTGACTGACATTTCCTCTCTTGATGTCACATATGGTGTGGTAATTTGTAATTTAAGGCAGAACTATCTCCACTTCAGTTAATGTACTGCTGAAACTATTTTGATAATAGATAATGAATAATATATAAAAATCTACAACAGATGAAGGCCTCCTTTGAAGGGATGTAAGAGAAACTTATTTGCAACAGAAAAATAGTCCCCATGGGCCATGACTACTCTTATTACTATATATACCGTACGTACATATATATCTGCATGATATGTTTTCCGCCCTCTGCAACCTCCCAGTTTGATGATGTGTGAAATATACAAATGTTCGGAAGAATAAACTCAATTTAGAATTAAACAAATATAAATTGTGTTCTCTGGTTTATTTATTAGCAGTAGATTTGTTTCATATTTACAGCATTAAATAAAATATACAATTAAAGATACATTATGTAAGATTTAGATAAAGAGCTGGTCATTCTTACTATAATAGTTTGAAAACAGAGAATGCAAAATGAATATACTGAAAATTACATTGTGAGCGAAGATATGAACTTTTGAAGGTTTGACACGATGTGTGCATTAATTGCAACCACTGTACCGGTTGTTCAAAGCTTAGCCTCGCTTCACCATTTTTAAATTAAATTAAAATATGGCTGAACCGTTATCTACTTAATACCGGAGATATCCTATGGCATCGAGAGTTGATTATGGTCTTGATAAGTTAACTAATGTCTAATTAATAATTTAGATAGCATTTCAGGCCTAAAGTAAGACCAACAATAGGCAGATTTAGCTCTTGCATAATGTATGTATAATAAATTAAAAATGACATTTGGAAGCATTAGTATCTAAACTATAATAAAAGATCAAATTACAAAATAAAATAGTTGTAAAGTGACACTCATTCATCTACAGATGCTGGACTTTCTTTTTTCTTTCTTCTTCTTACCTAATAAAAGTGAAAAACAAGACTATAAAAATGTGACGTATAGATTTTTTTGAAAAGGTCGCATGATATCAAATTGCAGAAAATACAGGCACCTCAACGATACAATTGAGCAATCTAGACGCACTAGACGCATGGTATACATTTGAGATGTACAGTAATAAAGCCTTGGGCCTTTTCCACTTAACAGAATAAAGATATGAAATCAAATTGGATTTAACATCCTACTTTTCTGCACTAAATGGGCTATGGAAGACAGTCATAAAGCCGGTAAGCAGCACTATGGCTTAAAGTTACTTTTATTTCAAATTACAACTGTCAATGGGTCTTTTATGTGCATGCCAATGTGTACACGGGACCCTCTTGTTGTCATCTTATCCTACTAGATGCTATTCATTGCCATGCCATCCATCCTGCAGGAACTTTCTAGGCTAAATTTGGGAGCAAACCTGATTGGCGAGCCAGCATCTTACTCGCCAGTCTAATATAAAAGTAATACTTAACTACAAATATTTCAGCAAACTGGAACTTATGTAAATGGTTCAATTATTTTTGTACCAGGAATGTGACCAACCATAATATTTTTAGGCGTATAATAATTTTTTGAGTATATGAAGCAAATTTATGTAGGCATTGGTGGGTTTCTTTAAACACAAATTGACCTATAATTTTACTCACTACGTAAAGGCCATACGCTTTCTCGGCTTCGATGCGTTCTTCTGGTGTTACAGGTTGAAAATCTAAATGCTCCAATCGAGGTAAACTGCTGATAACAAAATACCTATAAAATAAAAATAACAGAGTTTATATTTTGTTAAATATTCAATGTTTATGTTCGTGTCATGTAATTGAAAACAATATGGAGAAACTTCACACTATACCTGAATTCATTATACTGTTGTAATGTACCACCATTAAAATAACTAGGTGCTGCTTCATTATTCATCAGAGATAAATATCGTAACCTAGGACAGTTTTTAGATAAAGTAGCAATAAATACACCTGAAAAAGGAAGTGAAAGCAATTGAATGATACTGTATTGTATTTTCAGAACAACAATAAAATATAGATAAGTGTGGTATTAATTGACTATGTCAATTCTTACATGTAGCAATATGTAGTCAAATTTTTACTAATATCAAATCAACAATTTTTGACATTCACATCCAATAATTTAAAGAAAGGTTGCCAGGCAACGAAACATACGCCCACAGCAGCTAAGTCATCCAGGCGGTCAGCAAGGGTTGTCACAAATTTTTTTCTTTTGTCAGTAAGCCTCTAGTGTGTGTCCACAAGATTTCTCAAGTGATCAAGGGTCATAACTCTGGCACTAATTAGCGGAAATCATTGAACAAGCAATAGGTGTCTCAGTCTCATAACCACAAACAGTGTGTATAAATTTATAGTAAATCCGATAATAACTTTTGCCTCAAGAGTGCCCACAAGATATTTTAAAGTGATCAAGGACCTTAACTCTGGCAGTAATTATTGATAATTGTTGAAAATTAATAGCCTTCGTCTCATGACCATAAACACTGTGTATAAATTTAAATTCAATCAAATATTGTGAACAAGGGCCATAACTCAGGCCTCTTCGTCTCATGACGATAAACACTGTGTATAAATTCAAAGTCTATTGTCGGATATTAACTTTAGCCTATAAGGCCCCACAAGGTTTTTCAAAGTGATCAAGGCCCTAACTCTGGCAGTAATTATTGGAAATTGTTGAAAATCAATAGGCTTCTTCGTCTCATGACATTAAACAATGTGTAAATTTAAAGTCAACCAGATATTAACTTGAGGCTCTTGAGTGATCAAGGGCCATAACTTTGGCAGTAATTCATCTCATGACCTTACACACCGTATGTACAAATTTAAAGTCAATCGGATATTAACTTTATCCTCTGGATTGTCTGCAAGCAACTGAGGACGCTGGACCGATGTACGGGGACGACGGCAATATATATGACCACATTTCATTGTGGGGGTATAAAAACTAAAAAGAATATTCACAAACGATGAGTATCATGCCATTTAGCATTCAGTTATCATTCTAAAAATGCCAATAATGTCATTTTATACAGATAAACATTTTCTGCAATTGGTTTAACTAGCGGTTGCCATGTAAGATATGCCCACATTTTGCAAGAGATGGACAGAAAACAAGAAAATAGCGATTTTTTTATACAATTAGGGGACTTAATGCACAAAGATATGGTCTGATATGCACGAATATCAAAAGGAATTGAAATCTTGTAGATATAGGGTCCACAGGCTGAAAACTGGATTATTTGTACAATCAGGGACCATAATCCAGGAAGTTATGATCCGATATGCGTGAATATCGAAAGGAACCAAAATCTTTAGGGTATAAACATATATTTTAAGTTTCATCAAAATTGGACAAAAATTGTGATTTCTATCTGGTCCACAACCTAGGTATTACATACTTTTACACTATTTGTGTTCAAGGAGCGGCCATTTTGTCAAGCAGTTTTGGTCTGATTTTTACAAAATTTCGAACTCAATCATCATCAGGGTGTAACTGTAATTTACTTAAACGAATTTTAAAATCGGATAAAAGTTGTGACCCATAGAGGGTCCACAAGCTAAAATTGCGAATTTTTCAAGCAATCAGGGGCCATAATCCAGGAACTGATGATCCAATATGCGCAAATATCGAAAGGAACCAAGATATCTGGGATATAAACACATGTTTTAAGTTTTATCAAAATCAGATCAAAATTGTGACATTACATACTTTAACACTATTTGCATACATAGAGCGGCCATTTTGTCCAGCAGTTTCGGTCTGATTTTCATGATATTCGAATGGGATAAAAAATGTAACCCCTAGGGGGACCACAAAGTAAAACGTGATTTTTCATACAATAAGGGACAATTATCCAGGAAGTATGCAATGTCAAAATTATGACCTCTAGAGGGTCCACAACCTTGACATTAATACTTTAACACTATTTGTGGCCATTTTGTCCGGCAGTTTCGGCCTGATTTTCATGCTTTTTGAATCGGATAAAAAATGGACCTCTAGGGGGACCACAAAGTAAAAACGCGATTTTTCATACAATAAGGACAATAATCCAGGAAGTTGCGGAATGATATGCACGATTATCAAAAGGAACTGATATCTTTGGGTTATAAACATACATTTCAAGTTTCATCTCAATCGGATAAAAATTGTGTCCACACGCTAAAAAACATGATTTTTCATACAATCAGGGGCCATAATCCATGAAGTTTTGATACGATACATGCCAATATTGAAAGGAATAGAGATCTTTGGGAGATAAACCTATATTTCAAGTTTCATCAAAATCTGATAAGAATTATGACCTGTAGAGTGGTCACAAACAAATATAAGTCAAAAGTCAATAACAATTGCGGACTCCACAATAAATTGGTTGATAACCTGAAAGATTTTGGTGGGTTTTTTTATTCAGAACTCAGCATTGAGAAACAAATGATTCAAATTTGCAAGAAGTGCTTCTTTCATTTGAGGTCCATTTGTCAAATCTGCAATTTTATAACAAAAGATGCAACACATGCACTGGTTCAATCTTTAATCTTATCCGGACTTGACCACTGCAATAGCCTTCTGTCTGGCATGAACAACAGCCTTATACACATGTTACAACTTGTACCATACATATGGAATTCATTATCCCCTTGACCATATAGAATTCACAATCTCTTGGCTCTTTTAAGAAGCAATTAAAGACTCATCTTTTTTCAACTGCTTATTGTCATTAACTATGTTTTTATCTTATGATAAGTGGAGAGCTAAATACAAATTGAGCATTAACTTTGATGGTTCTTTGCGCAATATAAGAACTCACTATCATTATTTAGCAGAAAAATGAACATTTTTAGCAACCAACATCACAACGTAAAATATTAATATGTCTAAGATGGATTAAGAAGATAATACAAGAATAGACTTACTAAGATTTTTGATTTTGTTGTGATTCATCCATATAGTGTGTAAATTGGGCATAAAAGGTATCTTTACTTGTGAGTGTATGTTGTTGTGATCAGCCACTAGCGTATTCAGTCGTGGAAATTCAGACAAAAACCTTAAATCTGTGAAAACTGTTAAGGAAGAGTCAGATAAGAAATTTTAGTAACAAACGCTTCGGTATTGAATTGATGGTTCAATATACAGTGTACATGGTTTAAAAGGGCCGAAGCAGAAATTCTAAACAAATATTAACAGTCCAAACACTAATTTTTAATCAGAACTGAAGAGTAAAGCCATCAATCTCTAACAAGCTGTAGAAATCATTAAAGAGGCATTGTCCTGTCTCGTGATGAAAATAAATGTACCGGTAATTAATTTTCAATTAATATTATATTTTTAAAAAACTTAAAGACTTAAAATCCAGGTACCTGCAGAATAAGATTTATTTCAATCTTATTCACTACTAATTACCAAGAAAAACACTAAATAAATTACTTGTTAATGTTAATCGGAAGTTAAGACGTGTATATATCTAATGGATGGATGGCTTGGCATTTGCCAATAAGTTTTGCATAAAATCAAAATCATGGCATATCAAAAATCAATATTTTACCAACCAGCAAGGACCTCCAGGGTGCTAATGTCTCCTTAAATATCACAGTTTACTACCAAATTACATAAATAAATAAATAACTTTTTCTGTTGGTTCATGAAAGGATATGCAACTCTATTATTACTGATATCAAGTTCTTCTACATGTTTTCCATATTTTTCTGTAAGGTCTGGTGGTGTTTCAGTTATATCAAGATAGGCCAAAGACCATCTAGCGCGGGCTCCTGACTCTGCCATGGAAAGTTCTGATATTGGTGCAACTGATATCATCTAGACTTTGAGTATGGTGTTGCACACAGTTTGGGCATATTTTCAATGAACTACTCGGTAGTTACAGCACTGTTGAACAAAACTTACTGTATTACTAGTATTTATGAATCACGATAACTATTGGACAATCTGCAATAAGAAATCATAAATGATTATATTAATTTGAATAATCATGCTTAGCCAATAACTGCCACAAATTTGCATATAAGTACCAACAGAATAATAAGATCTTTTTTGATGCTGTATATATATAGTTATACTATAATGTTAACAGAATGGAATGGAATCAAATTGAGTATGAAATTGTGATCTATTTTTCGTGCGCGTCCAAATTGGCCATAACTGCAATATATATAGTTATACTATAATGTTGACAGAATGGAATGGAATGGAATCGAGTACGAAATTGTGACTTATTTTTCGTGTGCATCTAATACATGTACATAACCACCATACTTCAGTCTTGACCTATCAGAGGCTGGACAAGTGGATTATTCATTCTGCTGAACCTCCTGATTGAAAGCTGAAATTATCTTTCGAAAAACGTATCCTAGATTGAATCATGATTTATATATTGAAAACTTATTTCAATACATACCACTTATCAATATTTCATGTTGGCTAAACAAAATTTGAAATATCGATCAGTAAGTGTGCATGGGAAAGATGTAAAAATTGAAGCAGTAAATGAGTTGGGAGTGCATGAGGATCCAATTTTTCGCTGACGACTACCGTGAAGCTATTTTATCACCTTTAATATAGAGCAAAGCTCTAAAGCATCGCGCGAAGCACGGTGCTTGAGCAAAGCTCTTTTCCGGTAACACAGGAGCGTAACTGAAATTGTCACTCACAGACTGTTGATTAAAAAAAAATTCAGACCGGAACCGGATACACTGGGCAAAACAGGCGATGCGCATGTCAACTTACCAAATCTCGCCCAAGCGAGATTACGCGCTTCATAGAACTATTTCTATGACGCGTCTATGATGTCACATATTTTTGACGTCAATGAAAATAATTCTCACACTTTTTTGTTCTTTTTTTAAAAAAAAAATTAATGTACATGTATCCAATTTAGATCTAAATAAAAATCAATTTGGAAAAACTAAATTATTAACATTGTTTGTATCACTTTAGAAAATTAATAATGAAGGTTTTATAGTTGACAATAATCAGCTTCGCTATACTCAGGCAATGCCTGTTACATATTAACATAATAGTAACAATCTTGATATTAATAAAAGGAATACAATAACAATAGTACATAAAACACATATATCACCATCTTACGTTATTCAAATAATCATACTATATTATAAATCTTCATCATTCGGTTCTCAATTTCTTTGTTATTGTGGCAGTCGCCATTTTAATAGTCACGTGATAAGACGAATCGCGATATTAAATGGCAATCTGTTTCAGAGCGAAAAAACTCCAAATCTCTGCACAAGATGATTGACGTTTAAAGGTCACATCCGGTATACATGTAGTTCTAAATGTGACGTCACCCTACACGATCGGACGTAGTAATATAAGTACAAACTGGTAAGGGAAGAATTGGGGCTTAGTCTATTTTTTAAGGCCAGCTCAATTTTTGTCATTTTGGCAAGGTCGCTGAGGTGTAAACAAGGTTAAGGCACGTAATTGTTGGCGAGATTGTGGGTCAGGGTTAGGTTAAGCATTGGGGCTAGGTCCAGGGTTGGGATTAGCGCTAGCCCTGTTTACATCTCGTGATCTGTGACGAAAAATTGAGCTGGACTTATCATTTAGCACTAACTTAGAATTTGGCGCCTTTTACTCATTTTACGCCTCCGCGTACTATTTTATTACGTACACTGAAGAGGAAATGTTATTTATCTAGATATACTTCAAACACATTTATTTATTTTTACAATAAATTATAAAAAATGCCTTTAGCAGAATTTAATTTTCAAAAAAAAAAGAGTTAATATTGAGAGCTAATTAATTAACTCGACCGAGGTCATCCTTTTCAGTGATAGTAGCGGCCAAGCGAGTATTTACTGATGATCTGTTTGCAAAGATGGCTGTCGAAATAGAGTCTGCCGAGTAAGAAATTATATTATTGAATGTTATTGTTTGTATATTTTATGATCTTGCAAGAATTTATTTTCTGTGTTTTTAAACTGTTGCCCGAGACATTAGGTCTACAGTACAAGGTTCATAGGATTTGCATTGCATTAAAACACGTGTTTTGATTGACAAAGTCAACTCAAAGTGTCTTTATTTTCATCTGATTTTCTTAAACTGTATTAGTTAATAATTACGACACGAGTGAACTGTACCGTGGCTGATTTAGGACACGCAAAAAAAAAAAAATATCTTGAGCCCTCGAGATATTTATTTATTATTTTTTTTGCGTGTCAAGCGCTTGAGATAGTTAAAGTTAAAGGCTCAATACCACTCTTGTTGTAACTGAATAATATGTCCCAATCTTTATTCTGGTCAACAAATTGTACTTTTTTACAATATTTCAATTAATTGATGATACAAATTTCATCTTAACACACCTTATTTAAAAATTTTGAAAAATTCAACATAATGGTTTGAAACGTCTAACGTAAACCTTTTCAAATGAAACTTCAATTTAAAACTAGAACTGCGAAGCAGTAATGACGGGTTTCACCGGTGCCACGTTACCCTTGAACTTATGTCACTTCCGGTACCAAAATTACATTACTTCCGGTGATAATGAAAATGTTAAATTGGTTTATGAAATCAGAAATAGCATCATCACATGGTGAAAATTTTATGTAAATCCTATAATAGTTGCCACCTTTATAGACCAAAAACCTTGAAAAATGACTTGTAGAAAATCGCCTATTTCTCTGCAACCGTACAAGTTAGAAACCATTTTGAGGTATCTGTATGATCGAATGAGTTCATTCTATTTGTTGATTGGAATCAAATATCATAATTTTAAAAACATTACAAATCTGATTCATTTGAATAAAATATCTGTTTTGAAGGCTAAAAATACAGTTTTTGCCAAAATGACGTTACTTCCGGTGATAATGAAAATCTTAAATTACTTGTATGAAATCGTAAATGGCATTAGGTATCACACAATGAAAATTTCATGAAAATCGAATAATAATTGACACTTTTATTGACAAAAAACCTTAAAAAGTGACCTGTTGAAAATTGCCTATTTCTCCGCAACTGAACAAGTTAGAAACCATTTTGTGATATCTATATGATCGTAAGGGTTCATTGTATTAGTTCATTTGAATCAAATATCAAAATTTTAAACAAATAACAAATATGACTCATTTGAATAAATTACTGGTTTCGAAGGCTATAAATACAATTTTTGCCCAAATTACGTCATTTCCGGTGATATTGAAAATGTTAAATTGGTTTGACCTAGTTAAAATTGACATTACACATCAAATGGTGTCACTTTTATGAAAATCGAATAATAATTGACTCTTTTACAGGCAAACTAGCGTAAAAAGTGACTCATGCAAAATTGCCCATTTCTCGGCAACTGCGCATATTACAAATTAATTTTCACATACATTCTCTCCGTATAGATTATTGCTACGAGTTTATGAAAGTTACGAAGTAATATTTTAAAATATGAAAACGCTGGATGGGTTGTAAATAGCTTAATTTTACACCTTTTTTCACCTTTTAATCGAAATAGCCCGAAAACGGAATCGAAATTAAAAAAACTGGTTCCAACATTTTGTGCGCCTTTAAAGGGTGCACAATTTCAGTTATACCAGATTTGAAAAAAATAATATTTGCTTTCGAAAAATGGTACCTAACTGTCAAAATTGTAGTTTTTTGTCAATTTACGCCACTTCCGGTGCCGACAGATAACACTATTGGTAACAAAAAAAATGACAATTGAGACAACGGAGCATATGAACTTTGTTTTATACAAATCGAACAATAAATAATTAATCTAGGACTGAAAAACTGAATTAGCCAATTGGGGCCAAGGAAAATTACCGAGACAAAAATTTTTCACATTTTTGCCCAAGTCAGAGGACTCGTTATATTTGTGTAAAACACGACTAAAAAATATTCATAAATAAAAAAGTTTTTTGTAAAAATTTAAATTTTCTAAATTTAGCGCCTAATATCTGCGAAGATTTGCCGAAAATCAAAAATCAAAAGTAGCGTAGCTATGTGCCCCGTCTCCGGCTATGCCAAAATGCATCGAAAGTTAAAATCCAATGATTATTGTTAAAATTACTGCAATATTTCTAAAAACGATAGCTTCGGTGATTTCGGACATTTCGCATTGTCGCAGAACGTTCAAAATAGCTTTATCCTCTAAGTCACACCCACTTTTTCAGTAAAACTGAAGAAATCGTAACGATCCGACAATCAGTTGCTGAGATCTACTCAAAACAAAAGAAGAATAATAATAATAATAAGAACTAGAACTGCGAAGCAGTAATGACGGGTTTCACCGGTGCCACGTTACCCTTGAACTTATGTCACTTCCGGTACCAATGAAACCGTTAAACAGGTTTCCACATAAGCATTGCACACATGAAAGAAAATGGACGCAGAAACAACCAAATCCAGCAATCAATTCATTTGCTACATGTCAGTGATCCTGTCAAAATTACATTACTTCCGGTGATAATGAAAATGTTAAATTGGTTTATGAAATCAGAAATAGCATCATCACATGGTGAAAATTTTATGTAAATCCTATAATAATTGCCACCTTTATAGACCAAAAACCTTGAAAAATGACTTGTAGAAAATCGCCTATTTCTCTGCAACCGTACAAGTTAGAAACCATTTTGAGGTATCTGTATGATCGAATGAGTTCATTCTATTTGTTGATTGGAATCAAATATCATAATTTTAAAAACATTACAAATCTGATTCAGTTGAATAAAATATATGTTTTGAAGGCTAAAAATACAGTTTTTGCCAAAATGACGTTACTTCCGGTGATAATGAAAATCTTAAATTACTTGTATGAAATCGTAAATGGCATTATGTATCACACAGTGAAAATTTCATGAAAATCGAATAATAATTGACACTTTTATTGACAAAAAACCTTAAAAAGTGACCTGTTGAAAATTGCCTATTTCTCCGCAACTGAACAAGTTAGAAACTATTTTGTGATATCTATATGATCGTAAGGGTTCATTGTATTAGTTGATTTGAATCAAATATCAAAATTTTAAACAAATAACAAATATGACTCATTTGAATAAATTACTGGTTTCGAAGGCTATAAATACAATTTTTGCCCAAATTACGTCATTTCCGGTGATATTGAAAATGTTAAATTGGTTTGACCTAGTTAAAATTGACATTACACATCAAATGGTGTCACTTTTATGAAAATCGAATAATAATTGACTCTTTTACAGGCAAACTAGCGTAAAAAGTGACTCATGCATAATTGCCCATTTCTCGGCAACTGCGCATATAACAAATTAATTTTCAAATACATTCTCTCCGTATAGATTATTGCTAGGAGTTTATGAAAGTTACGAAGTAATATTTTAAAATATGAAAACGCTGGATGGGTTGTAAATAGCTTAATTTTACACCTTTTTTCACCTTTTAATCGAAATAGCCCGAAAACGGAATCGAAATTAAAAAAACTGGTCCCAACATTTTGTACGCCTTTAAAGGGCGCACAATTTCAGTTATACCAGATTTGAAAAAAATAATATTTGCTTTCGAAAAATGGTACCTAACTGTCAAAATTGTAGTTTTTTGTCAATTTACGCCACTTCCGGTGCCGACAGATAACACTATTGGTAACAAAAAAAAAGACAATTGAGACAACGGAGCATATGAACTTTGTTTTATACAAATTGAACAATAAATAATTAATCTAGGACTGAAAAACTGAATTAGCAAATGGGGGCCAAGGAAAATTACCGAGACAAATTTTTTTCACATTTTTGCCCAAGTCAGAGGACTCGTTATATTTGTGTAAAACACGACTAAAAAATATTCATAAATAAAAAAGTTTTTTGTAAAAATTTAAATTTTCTAAATTTAGCGCCTAATATCTGCGAAGATTTGCCGAAAATCAAAAATCAAAAGTAGCGTAGCTATGTGCCCCGTCTCCGGCTATGCCAAAATGCATCGAAAGTTAAAATCCAATGATTATTGTTAAAATTACTGCAATATTTCTAAAAACGATAGCTTCGGTGATTTCGGACATTTCGCATTGTCGCAGAACGTTCAAAATAGCTTTATCCTCTAAGTCACACCCACTTTTCCGATAAAACCGAAGAAATCGTAACGATCCGACAATCAGTTGCTGAGATCTACTCAAAACAAAAGAAGAATAATAATAATAAGAATAACTAGAACTGCGATGCAGTAATGACGGGTTTCACCGGTGCCACTTTACCCTAAACATGTTACTTCCCGTACCAATGAAACCATTAAACAGGTTTCCACATAAGCATTGCACACATCAAATAAAATGGACGCCGAATCAACAAAATCCAGCAATATCAATTCATTTTATACATTTGTTACATGTAAGTGTACTGTACTTCCGGTGATAATGAAAATGTTCAATTACTTTTATGAAATCAGAAATGACATAGGGCATCACATGGTGAAAATTGTATGTAAATCGAATAACAATTGCCACTTTTATAGACCAAAAACCTTGAAAAGTGACTTGTAGAAAATCGCCTATTTCTCTGCAACCGTACAAGTTAGAAACCATTTTCTGGTATCTGTATGATCGTATGGGTTCAATCTATTTGCTGATTGGAATCAAATATCATAATTTTAAAAACAATACAAATAAGACTCATTTGAAAAAAATATCTGTTTTGAAGGCTAAAAATACAGTTTTTGCCAAAATGACGTTACTTCCGGTGATAATGAAAATGTTAAATTAGTTCTATGAAATCATAAATGACACAAGATATCATATGGTGAAAATTTTATGAAAATCGAATAATAACTGACACTTTTATAGACCAAAAACCTTGAAAAGTGACTTAAGGAAAATCGCCCATTTCTCTGCAACCGTACAAGTTAGAAACCATTTTGTGGTATCTGTATGATCGTATGGGTTCAATCTATTT